ACATGGCTCCCGAGGCTGGGGGCCCTGTGGACTCACCCAAGGCCCAGGCCACGGCTCCTGGGCCGTCTGGCCTTTCCCACAGGGGGAGCCCCAGGCCTGGGTACCCCCCTCCGCTGCTGGGCGCAGTCAGTGCACATCCCACCCCATCTCTCCCCCACACTCCCTCCCCTTCCTTTCCCTCCTCCTTCACCCCTCCCCTCCTTCTCCTCTCTCCCCTCTTCCCGCTCCCCCTCAGAGCCTGCTGGGAGCACAAAGGCCTGCCTGTCCTGCGGGCTGCGGGCTGGGGGAGGGGACTCTCCCTCCAGGGCAGACGTTCAGCTCACAGCCACCCGCACGGGTGAGCCGGGGCCGTGTCTCCAAGGGGACACCATGGATCAGGGAAGTGATACGTGGAGCTTCGTCAGGCCAGACCTTGAGCCCGCCCGCCCCTCTGCCCCGCCATGCCGGCTCTGTACCCCCACAACCAGAGGAGGCTTCCAGCTCCCTCCCCAGGCCTGGGCTGACCCCACCGGGCTCTCAGGCCCCACTTCCTGTCCCACCCAGGCCGTGCGGGGGGGCGGGGGGGCGGGGACCAGGAGGAGGCCTGGCCATAGTCCTGGGGTCCCCACAGCTCCTTCTGTCCCCGAGCGCCACCCCATCCGTGCCGCTGCGGGTGTAGGCAGTCCTTTTAAAGGTCCAAACAACAAGAATGTTCCTCTGCTCTGAATTCTGAATTCTTTTCTTTTTAAAAAAAAATATATTTTATTGATATTTTACAGAGAGGAAGGGGGAGGGATAGAGAGCTAGAAACGTCGATGAGAGAGAAACATCGACCAGCTGCCTCCTGCACACCCCCTACCGGGGATGTGCCCGCCACCAAGGTACATGCCTTTGACCGGAATCGAACCCGGGACCTTTCAGTCCGCAGACCGACGCTCTAGCCGCTGAGCCACACCGACTAGGGCTCCACAGTGAATATTTTAGGTAGAAGACCGATTTATAAGTAAAAAAAAAAAAAAAAAATACTTGAATAGGGTCTTTTAAACCTTCTTTTCATTTAATGTTAAATATATACTTTTTTTTTTTCCCCCTGGATAAAATACATACTGGTTTTTAACGGCTTCTAAAAGCTGGATTAGCTACAGACTGTTTTGTAGTCAGATATTTAAACTTTAAGATCTGGCCAGGGGGCGCTCTGGGTCCGAGGGGAAGGGCCGGGGCCTGTGGGGCCAGCCTGGGGACAGGCTCACCAGCTCTCCAGCACCCAGAGCGCCCCAGGTGCCCTCCAGCCGGGGCCCTGGGCGGTGAGTCCTGGGTCTCTGCAGGCCTGTGACCCTCCCCTCCTGTGGAAGTGGTCCCTCCACCCCGGGCACCATGCCCCGGCTCCTCTGGGAACCTCAGCGCCAGCCCCTTTACATTCCACGGCGATGGCTTTCCCACGTGTCTCAGGCTCCGCCCCCCCCACAGCTTTTCTCTTTGTTCTCAGAAACCAAGCGGAGCCAAGCCTGCCAAGGCCGGCGGGGAGGGAGGGGGCTTCAGGAAGCATCTGGAGTGGCTGGCAGGGGGGAGCGGTGGCCTGGCCCCAGCCCCAGCCCCAGCCCCGGCCCGGAGGACTCCACCTCCAGGGATTTCCCAAGGCGGCCTTCCCGCTCCTCCGAGAGCCTGGTGTTTATTCCAATACCCCAAACCCGGGAAAGATCCAAGGCACCAGGGTCCCGACTGGCTGGAGCACAGACCCCCACCCCACCCCCACCCCCGGGGGTCCCCGGGAACCGTTATCATGATATTCCGCCTGCGGCGTGTGCTGGAAGGATAGGGAGTGGTGTCTGATCTCCAAGGGGGACGGGCAGCACGGAGGAACCATGTCCACAAGATAGCACTCCGACATTTCCCGAGATGAGTGTGCAGGTCACTCCCAGTTTTGTCTTTCTGGGCAGATTTACCTGCTGAGCAGCTGGAGCAGGTGGAGCAGCTGGAGCAGGTGGAGCAGCAGAAGCAAGTGGAGAAGCTGGAGCAGGTGGAGAAGCTGGAGCAGGTAGAGCAGCTGGAGCAGCTGGAGCAGGTGGAGCAGCTGGAGCAGCAGAAGCAAGTGGAGAAGCTGGAGCAGGTGGAGAAGCTGGAGGAAGTAGAGCAGCTGGAGCAGCTGGAACAGGTGGAGCAGCAGAAGCAGCTGGAACAGGTGGAGTAGCTGGAACAGGTGGAGCAGCTGGAACAGGTGGAGCAGCTGGAGCAGCTAGAGCAGCTGGAACAGGTGGAGCAGCTGGAACAGGTGGAGCAGCAGGAGCAGGTGGAGAAGCTGGAGCAGGTGGAGAAGCTGGAGCAGGTGGCAGAGCTGCCAGTGAGATCCTCCTGCCTCTGCTCAGGATGCCTTCAACCCTGTGGCTGTCAGAGGGTTCGTCTCTTTGTGGCTCCATCGGGTTCTCCATTTCACCGGCTGTCAGAACGTCCGTCCTCGATTGGCAAAAAGCCCTCCTCGGACTCTGGCCTCTCCTCTCCAGCAGCGTTCTGGTAAGAAGCATTCTCCTGGCCAGCCTGTCCGTAGACTTTTTGTTGGCACCGACCCAGGCAGCGATTCTCCACTATCCGTGAACTTCGCAGACTGCCCAACAGGCCTGCAAGACCAAGCAGACCCACAGATGTAGACACGCAGGGTGGCTCTCCCCACACTGAAATGCCCTGAGCCGCAGGCGTGGGGGGTGGGGGTGGGGGGGGCCGGGCATCCGGGTCTGCTGTCTCCTACCAGCAAGGGACTCCTGTTGCTTCTCACACTATCAGACCACAGGGAGGGGCTGGTAGTGGGTTTTTTTGGAGCAAAAGCAGACGCAGTGTTTAAAACATCAAATTGCGCCCCGTTCTGATGACATTTGGGGGGATGTTTCCAAAGTTCAGTATGGTTTTGCCAGCTGCAGGGGCCGGGGTGGGGGTGGTGCTTCCTGTGGAGGACAGACTTTTTCCCATCAGCCCCCTCTCAGAGAGGCTTCCTGGTTTGCACGTTGCAGCATAAGCCCAACCGCAGGGGTGAGGCCGTGGCTGTGCCCCTTGCACGAACCCGGGCCTCGCAGCAAGCTCTGCCCACTTCCTGCTCACGTGCGGGGCCCCCAGAGCACTCTCACTCCGGGAGGTGGAGCAGAGGAACCCCTGGAACAATAGTGAGGCCACCGGCCCAGACTCCCTGCTCAGGACGCCCTGCCTTCAGGACCGTCAAGACTCGTGTAGCAAGCCCAGCCCACCTCACACACGGCCTGACCTCTGGGATTTAAAAAAACAACAAAAAAAAAAAAAAAAAAAAAAAAAATATATATATATATATATATATATATATATATATATATATATATATATATAATTGATTGTTTTACAGAGAGAGGGATAGAGAGTTAGAAACATTGATCAGCTGCCTCCTGCACCCCCCAACCTCTTGCGTTTATTTTTTCTCTTGGCTATGGAACCCGGTTCCCAGGGGAGCTGCCGGAAAAGGCCCTTCTGCGGGAAAGCAGGCACTTTGTGGGGTGATGAGGAGAGGCTGGGTTTTTGTGGAGTCAGATAGCCCTGGATGAGGCTGTTTTTTATTTTTATTTTAAAAAATTTAAAAAATATATATTGTGTTGATTTTTTACAGAGAGAAAGGGAGAGGGTTAGAGAGCTAAAAACATCGATGAGAGAGAAACATCGATCAGCCTCCTGCACACCCCCTACCGGGGATGTGCCCGCAACCAAGGTACATGCCCTTGACCGGAATCGAACCCGGGACCCTTCAGTCCCCAAGCTGACGACAAGCGGGCTTTTTCATTGATGGTCTAGCGTCAGGTGCAAGAGTTCTCATGTTCTCAGTTACCATGACCAAAGGACCAGATCTATATCTATATCTATATCTATATCTATATCTATCTATCTATATCTATATAGAATCTAGAATGAATTTAAAATAAATAAAATATATATTTTTTAAAAATTAATAAAATAAAAAAAACAACTTTGATGAAAACCACACTGCAAAATGGGGAACTTCACTCGGACTGCTTTAAACTCTGGGTCCTCAATGGGAAGGAAGCCAGCTAACCCATGATAACTTGTAGGAGAGAGAAAAGAAAGGGTTAGGACCCAGGGCAGGCAGGCTCGGGGGTCACCGGGTGATGAATGAATGACTCCGCGTTTTTGGATTAAGTCTAATCATCACCATCATCATCAGCCTGGCGGGAAGGGGAAGAGATCAACCAAAGGACTTGTGTGTGTGCATATAAGCCTAACCGGTGGGCATGGACAACGGGGCGGGGGGGGGGGGGGGCATAGGTGGGGAGGGGTTCGGGATGGGAATGGGGGGGGATGAGGACAATTATGTGCTACCATAATCAAAATTAAAAAAAGAAATTAAAAAAAAATAAAATAAAATAAATTTAAAAAAATTAAAAAAAAAACCAGACTGGCGGGAAGCAGGTGGACTGGCACCTCGGTGCCCTGTTGAGTTCTGGACCATTTCCTACCGCATCTCTTATCGTGGGAGCCCTGCGAGCTGCAGGAGGGACCCTGGGACCTTCCTTCGGGCCCCCCTCCCGCCCGCGGGCCCCAGATCGGAGCCATAGCTCGGCCCGCAGGTGCCGGGGGATGGAACCCGGTCAGGTGCGCGCGGATGCTGTTTTAACCAAATGCACCTCCGCTCTCTGCAGTTGTCGCTCTAATCATTCTCATTTGCAGCTTTCCCCCCCCCCCCTCTCTCTCTCTCTCTCTCTCTCCCCAAACCACCCCGCACCCTCTGCGGCGAGTGGCGGGAACGGGCGGGCGGGGAGCGCGAGGGCCCCCCCTGCGCCTCCGAGATAAGCTCCCCGGGCCGCACCCGGGTGGACCCGCCGGGCCTCTCTCTCCCGCCGTCGCGGGGCGGGGCGGAGGCGCCACTGCGAGCGGCCAATCAGCAGCGCCGGAGACGATTCAAAAGGACGAGGAGCCAATGGGAGCTTCGGATACCCCCCCGAGGGGCGGGAAGTGGGCGGGGCTAAAGAGCGCGCGCCCGGGGCGTGGGGACGCAGGGGGGGGGCGCCCCCGACGTCGCGCGCGCGGACCTGCCGCAGGGGAGCAGCTCGGCGGCGGCGGCGGCGGCGGCTCTCGCGGAGTTTGTGCGTGTCCCCGCGGGACCCCGGCGCAGGTGAGCGCCCCCACCCGGCCCGGCTCCCCGCGGGGCGGCCGCGGGGCTGGGGGCGGTGCGGGCGGGGGAGGCCCGCGGGGGGCGGGGGTCCCGGGCGCGGGGCCGGGCTGCGGCCTCGCCCTCGCCGGGCCTCCCTCCGCCGCGGGCCGCTCGCTCGCTCGCGGGCGGCGGGGCTGGAACGGTGCGCGCGCGGCCCGGCCGTGCCGGCGGCGGAAATGGAGCTGCGGCTGCAAGTTGGGGGGGACGTTTCCCTCCATGTTGGACGCGCCGCCGCCGCGTCGGTGTCCGGGGATGTTGTGGGTGGGGGAGGTCTGGGGGATCGGGGTCCCCCTCCTCCCCCCGGTGCGCTCCCAGCGCCTTTCGGACGGGGAACGGGGGGCTCGGCGGCGGGTCCTGCCTGGCGTGGGGGAGCCGGGGACCGGGGCGCCCAGAGGTGACTCCCCCGCGCGGCCCGGGGCGCCCCTGGTCCCCGGGCGCCGCTCGATGGTGGTGGGGGCCGCCCCCTCGCCAGGTGCTTCCGCGCGCGCGGCCCGGACCCGGATCTTTGCGCAGCTTGGCGCGCTCCCCCCAAAGCTCCGTTGCGTAGTGGTTTTGTTTTTTTTTTCCTTCAAGTTGTTCAGAGTTTTAAAACCTTGTAGCAGCCCCGAGGGGCGCACAGGAAGCGAGCGCTCGTTGCACCGGGGCCTGCGCTTTGCAGGAGCTGCTTGCTGGGCGCTCAGGCCGGGCGCCCTGGACAGCGCCCGGGCGATGGACGGGGGCAGCCGGGGAGCCCGTGGGGGCCCGTGGGAGCCCGGGTGCGTGCTCACCTGCTGCGGGAGGGAGGGAGCCAGCTGCTCCGAGTCCTCGGGGGCCTGGCAGACAGGAAACACGAGCCAATCCAGCCGAGGCTGGTGTGGCTCAGTGGATAGAGCGTCGGTCGGCCTTCGGACTGAAAGGTCCCGGGTTCGAATCCGGTCAGGGGCATGTGCCTTGGTTGCGGGCACATCCCCAGAAGGAGGTGTGCAGGGGGCAACGGATCGATGTTTCTCTCTCATCGATGTTTCTAGCTCTCTATCCCTCTCCCTCCTCCCTCTCTGTGAAAAATTAAAAAAATCAATACAATGTATTTTTAAAAAAATAAAATAAAAAACACGAGCCAATCTGGAACCACACTTGGCAGCAAGTGATGCGAAGGACAGGATGGGGGGTGGGGGAGAGGGGGCTTCGGGAGGGCAGCAGCAGGGATGTGGGGAGAGGAGGGAAAGGGGATGAGCAGGAGAGGAAGGATTCTCTCTTTCCATTTTTATTTCTTAGGGGGAAAGCCAGGCCATTCGGCTATGCAGCCGGGAGGTGGCCTTTGCGTCCTGAGCAGGGGGTACAGAGCAAGGCGGGCTGGGGACGGGGGGATTCCTGCTGGGGGGTTCCCTGGTGGGGCCCGCCTTGGGCTCCCGGGTGGAGGGGAAGCTGCCAAACTCCGTGTGAACTTCCCGGTTTCTGCTCCGTTGAGACTGATTTGGAGAAGTGAAGGCGAGAGGACCGGAGACCCCGGGGGTTCCTCTGGCCGCGGTGGGGCTGATAGATACTCATCACGCTGACACTGACGTTAGCGAGCCCGGGGCTTCCCGGGGAGAGGCCTGAGGGAGGGCCTCCTGGGGGAGGAGGACGTCTGGACCCGCTTGGCTGTCACACCTCCGGGTAGCCTCTTCCCAGGTCCCTGGCCCCCCTGCGGGGAGGCCTCGGTGGCACGGGGCGTCCTTTCCCGGCCAGTCCCCTCTGGCCTGGGGCTGGGAGGGTGTGAGTGCTCGTGGCTCTTGTGCACAGTGGGGTTCGGGGTGGGGGTGGGGGTGCGCTGTCACCTTTGGGAACGGGTGTGGGGTGGCTTCCTCAGGAGAGCGGTTTGCTTTGTCTCAACCACCCTGTGGGGGGGGGGGCTCGCTCTCACGTCCCAGTTCTTAATTTTTTTTTAAAACAATGAGCTTAGAGACCTCACAGGGGTCCACTAGATCTCTCCGTTTGCTTAACCCCGGATATTTAACGGGTCGCAGGAAGATGCCGGCACCTGCCGAAGCCGGTTTGGCTCAGCGGTAGAGCGTCGGTCTGTGGACTGAAAGGTCCCAGGTTCGATTCCGGTCAAGGGCATGTACCTTGGTTGCGGGCACATCCCCAGGAGGGGGTGTGCAAGAGGCAGCTGGTCGATGTTTCTCTCTCGTTGACATTTCTAGCTCTCTATCTCTCTCCCTTCCTCTCTGTAAAAAAATCAATAAAATATATTAAAAAAAAAAAAGATGCCGGCACCTTTTCTGAAAGGCACGGACGCAGTCAGGACGGGTTCAGAGTCTGCGGAGAGCTGCTTGAAACTCGGATGGCATCTTTACGTAGAAAGATGGGCTGCCTTCTCTCCCGCGGCCGGCCAGCGTGGGAGAACCAGTGTCACTAACGGGGGTGCGATCGTAGGGGGTCCAGGGAGAAGGGGGGTGCAGCCAAGGGAGGAGGGCCCACTTCCTCTTTCTCAGAACTCGGAGCTCACGCTCCATGTTGAAATCAAATCGGCACAGCTTGCTGCTGTCACCTTCCCTTTTTGGGCCCCTCCCCCATGTCCCAAGGTGTTCACTGCCCCCCTCCCCCAGGGCCCCATTAGGAACTCCTCAGCCAGGCGGGATTGCCCCCCGGGCTCCAGGCCCAGCCGGTTCCTCACCCCCAAGCCATCCCGCCACCTCACCAGCCATCTCGCCATCTCTCTCTCCATCTGGGCAGGCTGGGAAGAAGCCGTCCATTACCGCAGTGAGAATGACCTGGCACCTCTAACCACCCTCTAATCACCAGATAAGTGGTGTGTTTCCTTTCATCTCCCGCCTCCCTGCTATCTTTCTCAACAAGAGAAGCTCATTAAGCCTTTTCTGCGGTGATTCACTGAAGCAACGTGGTGCTTGTGAACGGGTTTTTCCTTGGGCGGGCGGGGGAGGGTAACGCTCCTTCTCCTTAGCGAACTTCAGTCTTGAGAAGTTCCTGAGGGTTGTTCTCGGTTGTTCTTGTTACGGAATCAGCTCTCTGCGGGAGCTGGGGAGGGGCGCATCCTGTTAGGCCCCGGTGGCATGTCGGATGGCGTAGCTGGTGAGCTGAAGGTGATTTAGGGAGAGACTTCTCCATGCTAACCGCCGGCTTCTTCGTCTCTATGGTAACAGCCGGCTAGCGTGGCTGGTGTTGGAGGTTCGAGGCCCGGGTTCGGCCACACGGACCGAGTGCGCTGGGCGGCGGAGGGAGAAGCCGGCCGCCTGAGAGCCAGAGCGCCCAGCCGGCAGCTGATGTTTGAAAAGGGCGGCACACGGGCCTCCTGGGAGGAGCCGGGTCTGTGGCTGCCTGTGGCCCGCGGTGGCGTGTGCACAGGCGTGTGCGCCGTGTTCTGATGCCGTAGCGAAGGATGTGCTAACGGGCGCTGGAGCCAGGTGTGCGGCAGCCCGGCGTGAGCGAGGCCGTTACTCAGACGCATTTGAACTTCAGCTGTGAGACTTGGAAACTTGAAAGAAAGACCCTCAGATCTGCTGCTCATTAGAGATTTGGAATTTTTTTCTCCCTGCTGATGGGCTATAATGCTAATTATACGTCCTTGATTTTTCTAGGCAGTCCGTTTCATGGTTTGTTGTTTTTAAATAAAGGTAATTATTATACTTAAAAACTGAATGTATTTCTTAAGTCTTTGTAAGACTAGATACACATTTATAAAGCAGGAAACGAAGCCCTTGTGAGATTGTGCCTTGTAGATTGGCAAGTAACATGTCACTGGCGGTGACAGGGTGTCGCATGGGCAGCCATGCGTGTGTGGCCGGTTACTCCCGAGTGTCACATGGACCTGGGACTGTCCTGTCCTGTGTGAGCGACTCCCAGGGAGACACGGCGGGCGGAGAGGACGCCTTCTGTGCTGTGCTCTCCCCAAAACAGTTTCTCGCCTATAAAATAAGGGGTGGTGCCCCCTCCCCTCCAATGGTCTTTTTGGCCCTACAATCTTGACCAGTGAACATTTTGGAAAGTTGTATTTTAGTGTCCAATCTGCAGGGGGCTGAGGGGGGGGGGGAAGACAAATGTAAGTGTGTATTGCACTGACTCCCCCTTTTTATCTTTAAAACCGCTCAGCCTGACTTTCAAAGATGCCAAGTAGGAAGTTTGCGGACGGCGAGGTGGTCCGAGGCCGGTGGCCGGGCAGCTCACTCTATTACGAAGTGGAAATTCTGAGCCATGACGGCAAGTCCCAGCTGTACACGGTCAAGTACAAGGACGGGACGGAGCTGGAGCTGAAGGAGAGTGACATCAAGGTAGGTGCTCGCTGGCTCCCCCGGGGGGGGGGGGGGGGGGGGGGGGGGGGGCGGGGCGGGTGTGCCGAGCGGATGACGTAAGCGCCGTGTGGTTTCGAGGTTAGAGCGGTCGGTCTGTGGCTCTGATTGTGGCTCCGGGGACGTGTGGCTGAGACCCGGTGCCCTGCTCCTGAGCCGGTGCTTCCCGGGTCAGGGTCCTGGGTGAATCCCTGGGTGACAGGCCCTTGTGACGGGTCAGGGACGTCTCTGGGTTCCAGGGGAGCCTCTTGGAGGCGTTGGCTTCGGAGCTGCTGAGCTGCGTGCTGAGACAGAGCAGGAGAGGCCCAGGGGACGGAGGGGCGGCCTCCGCAGAGGGCAGCAGCCGACGGCCTGGGGCTGGGGACACAGACAGGGAGTGCTGCCAGGGTGTGGGGGGCATAGGCCCGCAGAGGGGGGAGGCAGAACTGGGGAGTCCTCCAGGAGAGTGACATTCATTAAAGTGAAGTCTGGTGGGGGCCTGGGCCTTAAACATCTGATCTGTGACGTGGAAGCACTGATGTAAAACTAGTGGCCCAGTGCACGCATGGCGGGGTTGGGGGGCGGGTGTCTCTCAGTCCAGCCTGCTTCCTCTCCAGTCTGAGACCCCTGTGGGATTGGGCCTAAACTGGCAGTCAGACAACCCTCTCGAAATCCGGGACTGCTGGCTCCTAACCGCTCACCTGCCTGTCAGCTTGATCACCCTAACCACTCTGCCTGCTGGCCTGATTGCCCCCAACTGCTCCCCGTCAGCCTAATCACCCCCAGCTACCCTCCCCTCCTGGCCTGATCACCCTTAACTGCTCTGCCTCAGCCCGCCCGCCATGGCTTTGTCTGCATATTACCCTTTTATTAATATGGATACCGTGAAAGTGACAAAGGTGTAAGAAATAAGTTCTTTTTGTTATTGGGTCCAACAGATAGAAAATTCCTCTATCAAATGTCATATTATACAAATTTCTCACCACACCTCTTCGCAGTTCCCTCCCTGTTGCAGCTCAGCAGCAGCCAGTGTTTGACCCACAGCCTGGCACCACAGCGTGAGTGCCAGGGCGGGGCCGCAGAGCGTGTGAACAAAGGGCCAGGCTGGATAGTCTGGCTCTGCGGGCTTGTCCGCCTGCGTGCGGGCGGCTCTGGGCAGCCGGAGGGGAGGACGGGGCTGTGCACCAGCTAAACTTGATTTCCCGGCTCTGCAGTGGGAGTTTCAGACCGTTCTCACGGGTCCCCGAGTCTCTTCTGGTTTTGTTTGCAGCCAGTTAGAAGCTGCAAAGCCATGCCGAGCCCCTGGCACCCAGCACGGTGGCCTCCCAGGTCGAGGGCCTGGAAACGCGGGCGCGGGCAGGAAAAGCAGTTATGCAAGTTGCACTCGTGTCCAGGGTCGGCCCGTGCCTGTGTGTGGGGGGCTGCTGTCCTCCTTCCTGTTTGGGTGCAGGTTTCCTTCGTCCCGTCATCTCAGCTTCCACCGGCGTCACTGTAGCTCTTCTTGTCTGTGTTCTCGGGACAGCGTCCAGCCGGCTGCGTAAACACATTCGTGTCTGGCAGCACTTGGAAGACTCCGCAGTGGGAGGGCTGCCTTCGTCCCGCGAGCGATGGCCATGACAGCATCAGGTGCCGGCGTGTCCCGGCTGGGTCAGCGCTCACGGCTCCAGGGACGGCCTTTGCTGCCTCTCGAATGGGGCCTGTCTGTGTGTGGCGTGGCCTCGGTAAAGCCCTGCCTTCTCCCTCTCCAGCCTTTAGCTTCCTTCAGGCAAAGGAAAAGTGGCTCCACGTCCAGTTCTCCGTCCAGACGCCGGGGGAGTCGGTCAAGGTCGCGCTCCCGCTCCCCCGGCCGCTCCCGCTCCCCCGGCCGCCCAGGCAAGAGTGCCCGCCGATCGGCCTCTGCCTCCCAGCCCTCGGCCTCTGCCTCCCACCACGTGGACGTCAAGGAGATGCGGAAGGAAGTGCTGGAAGTGAAGCTGACGCCGCTGGTGCTGGTATGTGTGCACGTGTGTCCTTACCGTGTGTGGTCTGTGCCAGCTCCCCTTCCCTGTGGGTCTGGCCACTCGGATTGAGCGATATGAAAATGTCAGTGAAACATCCAGTTCTAAGGGGATGATTATGGAAGAGCTCGTGAAGAAATGGGTGTTTGGAATAGAAGGTACAGGGCCAAAAAGAGTGTTTTTTAAGTTAGGAGTGCTCTTTAATACTGTATGTGTGGTGTTTTTTTTTCCTCTTAATATGCTTTTAAAAAATACTGATTTTAGGGAGAGAAGAAGGATAGAGAAATATCGATCGGTTGCCTCCTGCACACCCCCTACTGGGGATCGAGCTCACAACCTGGGAATGTGCCCTGAGCCACATCCGCTAGTCAATATTATGTTTTTAAAAAGCAGTTTTTAAATATATGTAATAGACATAGACTGTGGTTTGAACTGAGTAAGTTTTTATAGCTTATAAAAGCTCAGGTATAAAATAAATATATTCTGGCCCTCTTGGCATTTATATACTCGATCGCTTTCCCTATTCAAAGATTGTCTTAATGGATTTACTTTAAAAGTCCAAGCTTGGGACCATCAGGGTAGGTGGGGCCTATAGGACCTTGCACAATGAATATTTTAGATAGTAGCCCAAACAAAAAATTATTTTTAATTTAAAAGAATTCAATATAGGTAATTTTTCATTTATTCATTTATTTTACCTTTTATGGATAAAATGCTCATAGATTTTTTAATAGCCTTAAAAAATGGAATATGTACATACGGTTTTGTTGTTTGATTTAAAAACCTTTAAAAATTGAAATAGCCTTCTGCATTATATTTTTCCACCTCATTTTTGTTATATGGTATTGTTTGGATTCTACTATGTTATATGTATGTAATAAAATTGTTAAATTCAGCTCCCTTATTGGTAGACATTTAGCTTTTCCTGTTTAATTTTCACGATTATAAACAAAATATTCTTATGCAACATCTGATATTTCCTTTGCTACTCAGATGGATAGGGCAGATTTGAGGCTTTTGCCAAATCACGTCAAGACAGTGCATACCGTCATGAGTAATGTATGAATGCCCATTTTCTCATTCTGGATATTATTTTAGTAGCTTCTTTTGCCAATGTGACCGTCAGAGATTTTCACGTCACCCTTTGGACTTGCGTTTTGGTAATTGCTCGCGAGTCCGGCCACCCTCCCAGTGGCCCCCTGACGGGGGGCGCGGGGGAAGGAGCAGGTGCAGGGTGCCACTTCCGCATCCTCTTTGGTGGAATTTAGTGGCCACGGTCTTCCCAGTGTAACCTTAGCGCTCGGCACCCACCGTGTCCGCACCGTGGCACCGAGGACAGACAGTGTGACGGGAGAGACCAGCCAGAGGCTGCGTGTGGCGGGGAACATCCCCTCTTCCTTGTTCTTGTTTCCCTTTCAGTACTTGGTCTGGTTGTGCGAGCATCCCGCCAGCTGCAGTAGGCGGCTTAGGGTCAGCTGAGGCCTGTAGGGGAGCAGTAAGGGGGTGATTAGGCTGGCAGGGGGAGTAGTTAGGGGGTGATCAGGCTGGCAGGGGGAGTGGTTAGGGGCAATCAGGCAGGCAGGCAGGTGAGTGGTTGGGAGCCAGCAGTGCTGGATTGTGAGCAGTGTGTTTCGGCTTGCATTTGCAGTCATGTCATAGGTCAGAGGTCAGGCATTTGAAAACAGAGTGTAGCTGCCCCCGGTATTTAGGGGCACCCGTTTGTCGGGAAGTGGCTCGCTGGCACTTGGGTGAACTTCAGTGTATGGTGCATGCTCGCTGCAGTTAGACTTGGATTTGAACTTGATGCCGCATCAGTGCCGTTCTTTGCCAGCTGGCCTCCCCAGTGATAGACGTGGGCTTTTAATTTGTTGTCCTCCTCTTGGTTTATTAGCATTGCAGTTTGCCCCTGACTTACAAAAGAACAAAGGGACAGATTTCAGCCATGCTTTGCCTGAAAAAATCTTCAAGCTGAAGCATTTTTCCTGTCCCATCTTTTAAGAAAAGCCATCTACCGCTGGAGGAGATTGCACAAGCAAGAAGGAGACTGAGTCAGGGAAAAGGACAGGCACTTAAGGTTACATAAAACCAGCCACCATGCAGCTCAGAAAGTGGGCAGTGTGGAGGTGCTAGGAATACTCTGGAAGCACCCACCCACTGTTTAACTTCCCATTATGGGCTATTTTGGGGCAATGAATGTCTTTTCATCTTATTTTAAAACCAATTCATGAAAGAATGGCCAGTTTTTACTTCTCTAACTCTCATAGCAAATGTTATTAGAATATCTGTTACTGAACAATGAAATGATAGCATTCAGTCTAATTATGTTTAAAAGACGAAAGAACGAATGTGGAATCTATACTGTAAAATCCAATCTTTTGAAGACTGGGAAATTCTAGTCAATTTTACTCCTTTTCCTTTTTAATAACAGTATCCTGAATTCTGCAGAATGAAAGCTGTGAGGCTGGTTGACTTTCTTCATCACAATAGGGAAGATTTACCATCAGGTTATTTTTTTAAGGAGTTACGATTTGTGTGGTTAAATGCTTTCTGTTCTCTTTAGAAGCCGTTTGGAAACAGCATCAGCCGGCACAACGGGGAGCCCGAGCCGCGAGCGGAGCCGGAGCAGCGAGCGCGGAACGACTTGCCGCACAGGAGCGCCCAGGTACGCGGGCTCTCTCTGGTCTCGGCTGGCATGCTCTTGGGTGAAGGGACTTACCCTAAGGAAGTGCATTGAAAGCCGTAATACCGCTCATAACTTTTCTAAAAGTCCGTCCTTCAATTGAGACCGAATGTAATTTAACAAACTTATCCTTTGTATATGGCTATATTATGATGCTGAGTTAGTTACTGTGGTAGCATCCTATATAATAGAGGTAACATGCAAATTGACTGTCACTTGAACACTCAAGATGGCCGCCCCCATGTGGTCACAGGATGACTGATACAAGATGGTCAGCAGGGGAGGGCAATTGGGGGTGATCAGGCCTGCAGGAGAGGGTAGTTAGGGGTGATCAGGCTAGCAGAGGAGGGCAATTAGGAGTGACCAGGTCTGCAGGGGAGGGCAGTTGGGACCCAGGCCTGCAGGGGAGAGCAGTTGTAGGGGCACCAGGCCTGCAGGAGAGGTCAGTTAGGGGTGACCAGGCCTGTAGGGGAGAGCAGTTAAGGGTGACAAGGCCTGCAGGGGAGTAGTTAGGGGGTGATCAGGCTGGCAGGCAGAAGTGGTTAGGGGCAATCAGGAGATAGGCAGGTGAATGGTTGGGAGCCAGCAGTCCTGGATTGTGAGATGGGTTCCAGATTAGAGGGTGCAGGCTGGGCTGAGGGAAACCCCCCCTCTGCCCCATGCGTGAATTTCAGCTAATTAATGACAATTATTGATTACAGCTAATTAGTACTCCTTATTTTTTTAACCAGGAACAGTTCCCTTTGTCTCAAGAAAGTAGTTATACATATACACAGTACAGCCTTCGTCCAAGAAGAGAAGAGAGCAAATTAAAAAAAATAGACTTAGAGGAAGAAAAAATTGTTACAAAAGGACCTACGTCGTTGAGAACCTTTGAAATGACAGCCCCGCAGACGCAGACGAAGGACTTGGAGTTTGGTGGAGTCCCGGGTAGGTGCCGGAGCCGGGCTGAGGGGGGCCGGGGGTGGGGGGTGGGGGCCGGGCCAGTGGGAGTTGCAATAAAGTGAACAGGAAAGGCCTTTCTCTGAAGAAGCTGAAGCAGGCTGGGCAGAGAGCCAGGTGGGAGGGAGCCTGGGGAGGAGGGAAGGCAGGGGAGGGGGGATGAAGGAGGGGGGGGTATGGATGGGCGGGAAGAGATCAGCCAAAGAATTTGTGTGCAGATATGCACAACCTGTGGGCCAGACAATAGGAGAGTGAAGGGCTGAGGGGGGAGAGGGAAGTGGGGGGGGGGGCAGGCTAGAAGAGGTCAACAATAAAGATTAAAAAGAAGGGGGGCGGGCGGGAACAGCAGGTACAAAGGCCTGAGTTGGGAGCATTTTATTGACTTCAGGGAGAGAGAATCGTTGACTGGCTGCCTCCTGCAGGCTACCTACTGATTCTTGGGTTGACGCTCAACCACTGAGCCACACCAGCTGGGCAGGTGGGAGCATTTGTGAGGATTGCCATAGAGTAGAAAGGGTGCCAGAGTGGCTATAGATACAACGTTTAGCAGCCTGTTAGGTTTTGATCAGAGAAGCGGTAGGAGGAAGGTTGGCGTGAGCGATGAGGGACAGGAAATCTGCTCGCCCTCAGACCTGGGGGGCGGGGCCCGGTGGGCAGGGGCGGGAGCAGGGGAGGCGTGGAGCTGAGACGGGCATGGTGCCCACCCCACCTGCCAGGCGGGTTGAGGGTGAGTCACACATCGGGTGTCGGAGGCTGGCGGTACTAAGTGGGCGGTGCTGCTGAGGCGAAGGAGCTCGGAGAGAAAGGACTTCTTGGCCGGACGGTCCCAGGCCTTGCGGCTCCCCAAGATGGCGTCCCGTCACCGAGGCTGGCCGCGTTAGGTTACGTGATGCTGCTTTAGTTAGAAACGGGCTGTGCTAAAGGTCAGGCTGACAGCTTTCAGCTGTTCCCCTCGGCGGTCTGCTGGTGTCCGCGTGTTTGCTCCTCAGCGGTTGGATTTTCAGTGTCCTAGAGCCGTGGTCAGTCCACAGAGCCAGATATCAACAGTGCCACGACTGACATTTCTTTGGAGAGCCGCATTTTTTAAACTTAAACTGTACAGGTAGGCCCATTGCTATTAACTTAGTTAGGGTACTCCTAAGCTGGCCTTTGCTAAAAGCGACCTCAGTCTGATTGAGGTACACTCCAGGGGCCAAAGAGCTGCATGTGGCTCGAGAGCCACTGTTTGCCGACCACTGTCCCAGAGCTGGGCATCTGCTGCTTTGCTACAGGGCTGCTTGCCCATAGGACATGATAGAGATTAGGGCTTTTTCATTTTTTTTAATCTTTATTGTTGAAAATATTACATAAGTCCTCCTTTCCCCGCTGTTAACCTCTTGAGAATAGGGCTTTTTGATGGTCCAGTAGGAGTTGGTTTCAGACAGTTAGCCAGACGAGAGTTCTGACCTTAAAAAACCCAAATGATTCTTGAAAAAAAACCCAAAAACTGGATTGAAAATGGAGCCGTGAATGTTCGCTGATTGTTGCAGGTGTGCTTCTTATCATGCTGGGCCTGCCCGCCTTCCTCTTCCTGTTGCTATTGATGTGCAGGCAGCGAGAGCCCGGCCTCCTGACCTTCCCGCCTCCGCTGCCAGCTTTGTCTGAGCTGTGGGAAGCCAGAGCGTTCGGGGCCTACGTCCTCTGGGTCGCCGTCCAGGCGCTGTTCTACTTGCTGCCCATTGGGAAGGTACGTTTCTGAGTTCGTCCCTAAACCTTTGCCCTTGAACCCTGTAACACCTGCCTATTGGGTGGAGCTTTAAAAATCGGATTGAGGTTTCTTGTGTAACTTTGCATGACAAACAGAAAAGAAGAAACTATTGTGCAAAACAGCCTAATGGTGGAGGTTAAAAAACCACCCCCTCAGTGTATGTCATTTCAGATACAGGATTTAAAGTGGTCAATTGAAAAGCTACTAAGCTCAGTGGGTCCAGCCTGCATTTTTCACTATTTTTTAAATGTCGTTTAAAAATACCTTTTTATTGATTTTTAGAGAGAAGGGAGGGGAGAAGGATAAAAACATCGATGAAAGAGAAACATCCATTGGTTCCTCCTTCACACCCCATAATGGGGATCAAGCCTGCAACCCAGGCCTGTGTCCTGATGGGGAATTGAACTGGTGACCTCTGGGTCGATTGCTCAACCACTGGGCCACACCAGCCAGGCTGTTATTTTTAATATGAGTTTCTGATTTTCCAAAGTTTGTTGTCAGGAACATTTTATGCTCTTTCAGCCTCATGCAGGGTCTGAAATTCGTCCTCGTAGCTAAGTGTAGTTTTTCTTCTTTCAGTAGAGTATTGGGTAGACTGAAAGGAACATGAGATCCTGAGCAATAAATAATTCACCGAGAGACCTTGTTCTTAGGGCTCTGCGAATGTCTGTCCGCCAGAGGACCAGGTCTGCTGGGAGTGGTGGACACAATGACGGGGTAGATCTGCAGGCTTAGGTGTTTGGATCTCACCTTCACCTTGGCTGTGGCGAGAAGGGTTGTGATAGAGGCAGGCTCTCCAGTGAAATCACAATCCAGGTTACTTTAGGCAAGGTGAGCTCAAACTAGAGAAGACTTATTAAGAAAAGCAGTTTTGATGCCTAAATTATATATCTATATCTGTACACACACACACACACACACACACACACACACACACAGAGAGAAACTAAAAGCCCAGCACAGTATTTGAGAGACACCTTTAATAGATAAGGATCATTTGGAATTAGCATGTGGGGTTTTGCTAATCCTGTGATCTCAAACGGCATTACATTTCTCCCCAGGGCTAATGAAAGGGTAAAGGCGTTTAGCCCACGGAAAATGATACCATGTTAGTGTTTGAAATTTGAAATCACTTGCAGTCTTCAGTAGTTATTTCGGGTGGTCAATCGTGGCCACCATTGAACAAGAGGGCTTTTTCCTCGAACCCATCCCGTTCAAGTGGTGTGTTTCTCAATACCTGTGCCCCGGCAACCGGGGGTTCCGAGAAGAGCTGAGCGCTCCCAGTCCTGGTGCTCAGTCTCCCGCTGCAGGGACAGAACCCTGGGAATGACTGAGTCGGGGAGCGTATGTGTGTCAATGGGCAAGTCAGTGTCAGTGCGTGCCGTCCGCTGGACATGGGCCAGAGCGGTGGGTGAGTGGGCGAGCCGGGCGGCAAACTCTGAGCTGGAGCGGAGCCAGGTGTAGGCTGTCCTACGGCCCGTCAGGTCTCCTGGTGGGTGGCGCGGGGAGTGGCTGGGGCGGCCGGCTCCTGGGATGGCCTCCTACACTGAGAGGTGATGACTGGGCTCGTATGAAGACACACTTCTGAGGGCGGGCTTGCCTCATCAAAGGGTTTGCTGCTAAGGTGTTTGAACCGTTGGCCAAGTGTCCCTGCCGAAAGGCAGTCCTGGGCGAAGAGGTTTCAGGGACATTGTGACGTGAGCGCCGTGTTTAAGTTTTTACATTCAGTTTTTTTCTCTTTTTAAGGTGGTAGAAGGAACGCCTCTGGCTGATGGGAGAAGACTCCAGTATAGACTAAACGGTGAGTTTTTTAAAGACTCAAATGGGCGACTTACAGCGCTCAGAAGCTTTGAGTGTGAACTCCCAAAGTGTATCACACCCGAACAGAAACAGTAACTTGTCTGGTCGGAGGGGCACGCAGTGGACGGTTGATGCCACGGCCGGCGTATAAAGACCGGAGAGAGTACCTGGCAGAGGCCATGCCTGTGTGTGTGCCCGTGCCTGTGCCCGCTGGGCCTGACGGTGAAGCTAGGACTTAACAGACATCACTGCCGCCTCCTGTGACGGGACCCGGCTCACATCCTGCGGGGCTGACATGTGTTCCTGCCTTTCTAGGGTTCTACGCCTTCATCCTGACCTCGGCAGTCGTGGGAGCCGCTGTCTTCTGGGGCGTGGACCTCTGCTACGTGTACCACCACTTCCTGCAGTTCGCCCTGGCGGCCCTGCTGTTCGCCGTCGGCCTGAGCGTCTACCTCTACGCGCGGGCCCTGCGGGCGCCCCGGGGGGCCCTGTCTCCGGCCAGCTCTGGTGAGCCGCGCGGCCTGCGTGCGGGGAGTGCAGCCCCCCCCCCGGCCCCCCACACCCCATCCCCTCCGCCACCCCCCACCTCATCGCCCCCTCCACCCCTCTACCCCCACCCCTCCCATCCCCAGGTGAGGGCTTGTGCACAGTGCCTTTCCAGCTGCAGTTCGTGGGTGGGGAAGAGAAACAAGGACAAAGAGATGGAGAAATATTTAAAGAAAAGGAAATGAAGAAACTGTATTTCCTCATACTTTCCTGTGCGTCTTCCCTTTTGTAGTCACTTGAGGACAGTAAGACGTTTAGTAACGTGTAGTGGCAGTAGCGTTTTAGTAAAGGTTCGCAGCGTCATAATTTATGACAAACGTTATTTTTTTGTCCCAAGTAGTCAAGAGCCTTTAAAACACAGCACAACGAAGAGATTTCAGATTGGCCGATTCTGGCCTAAAGTGTTGAAGCATTAAGAAAATTAAGTTGCTTATTTAAAAAAAAAAATTATAAGCTACATTAAAAAGTATTCCAGTTCCTTAAAGTCGGGGACCCGGCCCCACGCCGTGCGGCAGGGGGGCGCGTCCGGGGGGGCCCGGCGCACTGGGGCTCAGCCCCGGGTCCCCCCGCTGGGGGCGGGCAGAGGGGGAGCGGGCCGGGGCGGAAGACAGCTGAGCCTTGTGAGAGGGGCCTGGAATAGCGTGTTTCCCAAACGCCGTGTGAACAAACGCTCCTCCTTCTCAGGAAACGCCATCTACGACTTCTTCATCGGCCGAGAGCTGAACCCTCGGATCGGGACTTTTGATCTCAAATACTTCTGTGAGCTGCGCCCCGGGCTGATGGGCTGGGTATGTCTGTGTTGTTTTTAACTCTCAGACGTAGAATTGCAGGCAGTTTTAAGGAAGCGGTGGTGGGTGGTGTATTTTAGGAATAATTACAGCTTTCCCTAAATCTGTCTCCTGAAAAGTATTTTCTCACGGGAAACGTAGTCCTGAGGAGAAGTTGCCCTGTTACAGGTTATCAAACCGGAAAAGGGTTTGGTTTATGCTCACGTAGGAAAGTGAGAGTGTTGGTGGATTCACGTAGGAAAAAGAACAAACGTATTTCAGGCGGGTAGAGTCGCAACAGAGAGAGTCCCCTTCCATCCCCCCTCTGCTTCCCGGAGTCAGCGCCTGGCACGGCCACAGCCGGGACCAGGACGGCGCGGGGCACTGGGACAGGTCCCCCCGCGGGCCTGGCTGTGGACCCTGCAGCCCCGGGCACTTCCTGGTTCCTGTGCTCTGGTCTCCGCTAGTCTTTTCCTGGTCTCCTGGGACCCTGACCCTTGAGGAGGATCCTTTAATTTGGGTCAGTCCAGTGCCCTCTCCTTTTACCCTCATCCAAGGATGTGTTTTTATTGATTTTTTAGAGAGAGAGAGACACACACACACGCCTCCCATGTGTGTCCTGATCTGGAGTCGAACCCACAACCTCTCGGTGTATGGAACGGTGTTCCTCCACCTGAGCCACCTGCCAGGCGCCCAGTGTGTCCTCGTGCTCGGAGTGATGCGCTGGGGCCCGGCCACCACAGACACGTCCTCCTGCCCTCGGGCACCTGTTGGGATGTGTCTTATTTCCGAGGCGGGGGCCGGGGGGGGGGGGGGCCCGCCTCAGGGCCCTGGGGACTGACGGTTCCGGCGCTCTGGTTTCAGGTGGTGATCAACCTGGCGATGCTCCTGGCCGAGATGAAGCTACAGCACCGCGCTGCCCCCTCCCTGGCGATGGTTTTGGTGAACAGCTTCCAGCTCTTGTACGTGGTGGACGCACTCTGGAACGAGGTAACTGGCTCCCACAGCAGGGCCTCTGCGTGGGGGTGAGTGCCCTGGCCGGAGGGAGGGCAGCCCGGGGTGCCCCGGCCGACGTGGGGTGAGCACGGGGGTGCCGGTGTCTGCAGCTCACCCAGGGCACCGGATGGCATCATCCCCTTGGCTGAGCACCGTGAGGAGTGGCCGCCTTGCCAGGCAGCCTCTGATCGGAAATGACATGGTGCCCGTGGGCCTGAAACAGGCAGCTGGCGATGCCATCGCTCCGCCAGCAAACAGCCTTGTACTCGGACTCCAAGGCAGACGCAGGGAGCTGTGGGCGCGGCGGGAGCCACGGGTGCTGGCTGTTTACCGCCGTGTCTCGGGGGTCACGGTGCAGGCACACTCGCTGGGCCCTGGGCGGGGGAGCGTTAGCTGAGGGCAGAGGGGGGGGCACGCGAGGCCTGCCAGAGGGCGGGTGAAGCCACAGGCGGGAAGCCAGGTTCCGCTCGGCAGCCCCTCACAGACCGGACTTTGTTTAATGTGTCTTTCCGCCGGGCCGGCAGGAGGCGGTGCTGACCACCATGGACATCATCCACGACGGCTTCGGCTTCATGCTGGCCTTCGGGGACCTGGTGTGGGTGCCCTTCGTGTACAGCCTGCAGGCCTTCTACCTGGTCCGCCACCCCAGCGAGCTGTCCTGGCCGCTGGCCGCGCTCATCGTCGCCCTGAAACGTGAGTGTTTTCCACTCCGAGGCCACTGCCTCCGTGCTCCCCACTCCCCGAGGCCGCTGCCTCCGTGCTCCCCGCTCCCCGAGGCCGCTGCCTCCGTGCTCCCCGCTCCCCGAGGCCGCTGCCTCCGTGCTCCCCGCTCCCCGAGGCCGCTGCCTCCGTGCTCCCCGCACCCCAAGGCCGCTGCCTCCGTGCTCTCGTCACCCCGAGGCCGCGGCCTCCGTGCTCCCCGCTCCCCGAGGCCGCTGCCTCCGTGCTCCCCGCTCCCCGAGGCCGCTGCCTCCGTGCTCCCCGCACCCCGAGGCCGCTGCCTCCGTGCTCCCCGCACCCCGAGGCCGCTGCCTCCGTGCTCCCCGCACCCCGAGGCCGCTGCCTCCGTGCTCACGTCACCCCGAGGCCGCGGCCTCCGTGCTCCCCGCTCCCCGAGGCCGCTGCCTCCGTGCTCCCCGCTCCCCGAGGCCGCTGCCTCCGTGCTCCCCGCACCCCGAGGCCGCTGCCTCCGTGCTCCCCGCTCCCCGAGGCCGCTGCCTCCGTGCTCCCCGTACCCCGAGGCCGCTGCCTCCGTGCTCCCCGCACCCCGAGGCCGCTGCCTCCGTGCTCCCCGCACCCCGAGGCCGCTGCCTCCGTGCTCACCTCACACGCCTTCTAAGTGGCCGTGATGAGCTCAGTCTGGAGGGAGCGGTGGTGGGTGAGTGACAGGCGTTTGCCAAGAGAAGGGACACTTCGTGCTTAGGCTCTTTAGGAGATTTTTAAGGTTTTTAGTTACAGTGGGCATTCGGGGTAGTGATTAGATAGTCACAGTCCTTCAGAAGGGGTTCCCCCCATAGCCCCCTGGGGGAACGTCTTTACTTTACATCCCAGGCCTGTGTGTAACTGCTAACCTCCCACCCTGCCTCCTATGTGGCAACTGGCCATTTGCTCTAGAGAGAGGATCTTTACATAAAACACTGTGCTTTTAAATTTAACCCTTTGCATGACCTCAGCGTCTATAGACTCAGTTAAATTCAAAAGATGGTCACGTGGGGACGGTTTCCGCCGTGGACGGAAAGGAGGGGAGTCCTGCCTCCTTAGGGCCCCCTTCCCACGGGGGAACAGACTCCCAGGGGGCCTGTGGAGGGGACAGAGAGGGACTGGCCGAGAGCCCTCTCGGAGGCTACGGGGTTTGGTCTGAATTTGAGTGGGTGGGAGGCAGGGGGAGTGGGGGGAAGAGGGAGCAGGAGGGCTTTCTGTCTGCACTGTTGCTGACACCCTCCACCAGTGGGTGGGCGAGGGGTGGCCCTGAGCTTCTGGGGGCCCTGGCGGAAGAGGAAATTCTGGTTTGGTTTCTCCATGTCGCCTGTGGGAAGGTGCGAGACAGGTGAGTTCCCTCCTCTCATAGTCAGTGAGCGGCAGGGGCTGGTCACTGTGAACTAAAGCTGCTGCCTCAGGACCGAGGTGACCCTGGCACATCTGTCAGTGCAGACATCTGCCTGAGCCTCAGCTGGATCCTAAGGCACAGAGAGTCGTGTCCCAGCCAGCAGGCACAGCGCTCAGAGGCCGCGGCCTGCTCCCCGTTATCCTCCATCCAGACTGGCTTTATTGTCACGTGGGCTGTGAGAAGTTTGTGAAATTAATCTCTACTTTGGAAATTTCCTCAGAGCTCAGAAACAATATCTAAGTGAAATTACAGGTGCCTTTAACTATATCTAAATTGTAACATGAAATCCTTCACTTACAGTGTGTGGGTACGTAATCTTCCGATGTGCAAATGCTCAGAAAAACGCATTCCGGAAAAACCCTGCTGATCCGAAGCTTGCACGTAAGCATTGGTGTCACATTTATAACATGCGGATTGCACAAAGTACCTTACGTCTATCTGCCAGCACGTCCTTACACACGTTTCTGTGTTCATACAGATTTAAAAACCATTCACACGTCCACAGGCAAGAACCTTCTCGTTTCCGGGTGGTGGGGCTTCGTGCGCCACCCCAACTACTTGGGCGACCTCATCATGGCGCTGGCCTGGTCCCTGCCGTGTGGTAAGCACCAGCGGGCGCGCCCGCCTGACCGCCGCCCATCCGTCTGTCCGCCCGTCCGCAGAGGAGTCCTTGGCTGGGACAGCGTGGGTGGTGCCTCTGAGGGGAGTTAGGGACTCACAGAGCCTGAAGTTTTCCTCGAAACTTCTAAAAGCAAATGTGACGTTTTAAACGGTGCCACATGCTCTAGGCCAGGGGTCCTCAAACTTTTTAAAGTGGGGGCCAGATCACGGTCCCTCAGAGAGCTGGAGGGCCGGACTATATGAACTACTAATTCCTACTGTAACACCTCGGCTGCGCTCACTGCCCAAAAAACCTGGCGGGCCGGATCAGACTCCTCTGTGGGCCGCATGGGGCCCGTGGGCCGTAGTTTGAAGACGCCTGCCTAGGCTAAGCAGCCTATGTGGGGATTAAGTTAACTTTTTATCCCCGATGCAGTGCGCACCGAGACGCTGCTCTGCAGCGGCAGCGAAGGCGCCGTTTTCTGCCAGCCTGGCTGCCCCCACCCCACCAGGCAGACGGGAGGTTTGCCTGCAGCAGGAGGACAGAGGTCCTGATCACGGTGGGGGGGGGGGCAGAGTGGATTAGTCACACTCCCCTGAGCTCTCGGTTCAGATGCTGCCTCTGCCACCCACCGGGGGGACCCCCTGAGCTGGTTCAGGGACTCGGTCTCCCCATCAGGGAAGGACACAGTTACTACGGCTCCCTCGGGGGGTTGGGTGTGGGACGCTGCGGTCACGCCTCACTGACTGCCTCCCCGTCGCCAGGTTTCCAGCACGCCCTGCCCTACTTCTACGTGGTCTACTTCGCCGTGCTGCTGGTGCACCGGGAGGCGCGGGACGAGCGCCAGTGCCGGCGGAAGTACGGCGTGGCCTGGGACAAGTACTGCCAGCGCGTGCCCTACCGCCTCCTCCCCTACGTGTACTAGTCGCCCTCCGCAGGGGAGCCGCGGCGAGGCTCTGCCAGGTCCCTCTGAGCCAGGACTGTGGAGCCCAGTGAGTCTTAACTATAGCCCCGAGCGTGACCCTTCACCTAACCCTTAGCAGAGGAAAAACAGAGACGTTAGGACTTTGCATTCTGATAGGAAACTCCGGCCCGTAAAAGCCTGCGAACCAGTCAGTCTTCTCGATGCCCCGAGAAGAACACTTCCGATGTGCACGGGTCTGGTTTTTTAAAATGCTGATCGTGTTCGTAGCTGGTTCTTACCCTCAGTGTGTGCGTGTTCCCTGCAGCCGCAGGACAGACTTACCTTCAGGCGGGAGCGTCACTAGGCCCGAGATGGCACAGGAGGGTGATCGGAGGCGCTGGTCGAGGGACGCCCTTAGTAGCAGCAGCTTGCCCTGCCCTCCGACCCGGCATCGGAGATGTAAATACACAGCCTTATGTAATATATGGTGACTTCGGGTTTCTCTGTACAGTGTTTTGAATGTGAAATAATTGTCAGGAACTACGTGTTGTAACAAAAACATTTGCAGTATTTTAACTTACCTTCTGTAAAGACAGACGTGAATTACAATTTTGGAAACAGCACTCATTTGCTATTCTGTGGAAGATGCTGTTAAAGACATAGGGAGGTATTTTTCTTAATCCAAAGTTTGCAAATTAGGCTTTTCTACCTCAATTGCAGGTGTTTGTTTGCCTTATATAAACTGTTGCAAATAGAAAAAAAAATAGGATAAATATATATTTTTGGAGTAACGTCCCTATTTAAAAATTTTTACACAGATTGGTGGTTGAAGACTTGCCATTTCAGGCTAATATTTTTATATGTTTTGGACTTTTTTAATTAAACTGTGTTTTTGCTACTGCTGAGCTCATGCAGTTTATACTGTATTTTTGTATATTCTTTATGTTTAAAAGCCTTTCTCTCTCATAGATGTGCCTCAGGTAGCTTTAGCTGTTCACAGAGCCTTATTAATTGTTCTGTAATGGAAAGCAAATCTAAATTCTCAGTACCTTAATCATTCGAGATCTAATGAGTTTGTTGCGTTTTAATGATAGATTTCACACGTGGCTCTGCAGTGTGCGCGCTGGTTCAGAGCATGCAGTCGCTGTGGGGGGACTTCTCCCCGAATGAGAAAGAGCCCGCTGCCAGCTGCATTCTGCTTTTCGTGTTTCAAGTTGGAAATAAAGAGAGATTACCGGGAGCCTTGGTTTTGTGTCCTTTGTGTATGATGCTGGGGTCTTGGAGCCCGAAACGGGGGGGGGGGGGGGGGGGTCCTTAGATGACACCCCCAACATTTTCCCTCTGTTGGCGACGCTCCCGGCCCACGGGGGACCGCCTGCACACGTGTTTCTGCAGGTAAGCACACTACTGCACGCGCACGGACACGTACGTGTGGGACGGAGTTTATTACTCACTCTTCTCACACAGCAAGGCGACCTGCATGGCGATCCAGTGGCCGGGCGGCCTCCGTGTGGGCAGGCACACGGCGGTCAGGAAGTTGGAGGGGGCGCCGGCGCCGGGCGCGGAGCACCTCTGCGGTGTCTGGTACAGCGGGCACTCGAACGTCCCGGCCTCCGGCTGCCTGGGCAGCTCGGGGGCGTCCGGCGTCTCCGGGGGAACCTGGGCGGAGAAGCCGGGCGTCAGGTGGCCCAGCTCCCGTCTCCTGCGCTGGACCCGGGGCGTGTGGGGGTTACACACCCAGGTTCCTGGCTGTGGGACCGCGTGGGGATGAAGCCTGGAGGACTCCCCCTTAGAGGGTGGCGAGGGCTTTCCATGGCGCCTGTCCTTGGGAAATGACAGTGGGCGTCGGTACAGCATCTGTGTGGGATGCTGGGGATGTTTGGGGCTGTTTTAGCTGTGCTCGGCCCTCCTCATCCAGTGTGAAGCAGGGGATGGGGACGGGGGGGGGAGCCCAGAGGCAGTGTGACCTGTGTTGGGGTACTGACCTTGGTTGGCAAGAAGTAGATTTCCGGGAACTCGCAGCAGATCTCGCGAGGCAGCGAGTCTTCCAGGATTTTCGCTTCGTGATTCCACCTTGCCCCCTCGATGAACAATCCAAAGACGTGCGCCCCGGTGTGCGTGGAGCCGGTGCCCTAGGACCAAAGAGGGGCCGTCAGGGGCGCCCGGGGGCGGGGCGGGGGGAAGGGAGGGGCTGCCTTGAGCAGACGCCCCACTGGGGGTGAGGGGGGGGGGGCGTCCGTGTGCTGGGGAGCTGTTGCTCGGGTGCCACTCTGAGACCTTAAGCAAGTTTGCATATTCTAATTCTGAACTGGCAGGTATTTCAAACACAGAAAAACTCCACGTTTCCGGATTACCATCTTTTCAGGAGACCCATCCTAAAAGGGGTCAAACGTCGTCGTCCCCGCTTCTCCCAGGGCAGCTCCTGGAGGCTCTGGGCTTTAAAAGCTGGGCGAGGTTCGTTCCGTAGCGGATCTTTGAGCGACACAAAGAGGGTCAATTCAATGAGGTGCCAGCAGATGGTGTGAAGCAGAAAACTGCTGGCGGCAGCTCCAGGTCTGGGCTGTCTCAGGGGGGCCTGGGAGGCAGCTTGCTCTCCCCCGCTGGGTGCAGGCGGGGTGGCGGGCGCAGTGCCCCCCGAGAAGGGACGGGCACCTCGTCCCCAGCTCGCCCTCCAGGCGGCCTGGCCCTGCCTGGCCCCTGGGCCAGCGGGTTCCCAAGGGCGAGAGGACCTGAAGGGGTCCGTTTACACTGCCTGCCTGTGCCTGGCATGTGCGGAGTGCGGTCTGCGCAGGAATGACTGCTCGAACGAATGAACGAATGAATGAATGAGGGAATGAGTGATTCCGCCTCCCACCCCCGTGAGCATCCCGGCACCTTGAAGGCTCTCCTGACGAGGTTGAGCTTCCTCTGGATCATGATGGAGAACTCCTCCTCCTTGGTGCCCGTGGTGTCGGGGATCACCTGGTGGGTGAAGGTGAGGCCGTCGGTGGAGATCCCGTGGGCCCGTCCGTAGTCCTGCAGCACAGCCATGAGGAAGGCTGGGGGGAAACACACGCTCCCGTGAGTGTCAGAAACACACGCTCCCGTGAGTCTCAGAAACACACGCTCCCGTGAGTCTCAGAAACACACGCTCCCGTGAGTGTCAGAAACACACGCTCCCGTGAGTGTCAGAAACACACGCTCCCGTGAGTCTCAGAAGCACACGCTCCTGTGCGCGTCCCACAGGCCCGGGCGGGCGCTGTCAGCCACACAGAGGCGTCCTGGAGGGAAGAGGGGGGAAGAGGGGGTCAGGAGATGGCGAGGGGGGGGTGTGAGGCTGGCTGGGACCCTCCCGCGGGCCTGGGGGCTGTGGGGGCGCTCAGAGGCCCAGTGTCCCTCCTCCGTGTTTGTCCTGGGACATTCCCCACTTCTCATCGGTCTTGGCCGAGCCCAGTGTCTCGGCCCCTGGTAGCCAGAGCGGGCTCCGGGGGCGAGGACAAGGCCCAGGCGTCCGTCTTCCTGAGATGTGACAGACGGGGACCCGGGCAGGAGGCTCTGTCTCCCCGGGGCTCGCTAACCCGGTGGTGACGGCGTTTCCCGCGGTTGGGGGGAGAGAGAGGCTCAGAAAAGAGGCCCCGTGTCCCCGGAAGAGCTGAGCCGGGAGCAGAGGTGGCCGGCGGGGATGGGGGTGGGGGTGGGGGTGGGGGATCGGGGCGCCATAGGAGACACAGAGCCCCTGGCTCCAGCCTGGCCCAGGGCATGGTTGTGCGTCACTGAGTCGGACGCGTTCTGCATGGCGACACCGGTGCCTCGCACACTCCCCTCGCCCACCTGCACAGCCGCCGGCCCTGGGAACCGCCTCAGTGCCTGGTCACACAGCGCCCCTGCCCAGACCCCCGCAATGCCGTGCCCGCCAAGGGTGCGGCCAGAGACCGGGCTGAGCTGTGGCCGCCGGGGGGCCCGTGGCGGCCGCTGTCAGACGGCGGCCTGGGCGAGGTGCCCAGTGCAGGCGCCTCATGTCAAGCTGGACTCCGCCACGTGTCCCCATTCAGGGAGTGACAAGAGCGTCCACCCAGCTTTCCAACCAGAAAGCTGGCCTCATGCTTCCCACTCCACACCCCACCTCAAACAGGGCGTCCAGCTGCTCCGATCCCCAAGCGCCCTCCTATCCACCTCAAACAGGGCGTCCAGCTGCTCCGATCCCCAAACGCCCTCCTATCCACCTCAAACAGGGCGTCCAGCTGCTCCGATCCCCAAACGCCCTCCTATCCACCTCAAACAGGGCGTCCAGCTGCTCCGATCCCCAAGCGCCCTCCTATCCACCTCAAACAGGGCGTCCAGCTGCTCCGATCCCCAAGCGCCCTCCTATCCACCGCAAACAGGGCGTCCAGCTGCTCCGATCCCCAAACGCCCTCCTATCCACCTCAAACAGGGCGTCCAGCTGCTCCGATCCCCAAACGCCCTCCTATCCACCTCAAACAGGGCGTCCAGCTGCTCCGATCCCCAAACGCCCTCCTATCCACCTCAAACAGGGCGTCCAGCTGCTCCGATCCCCAAACGCCCTCCTATCCACCTCAAACAGGGCGTCCAGCTGCTCCGATCCCCAAACGCCCTCCTATCCACCTCAAACAGGGCGTCCAGCTGCTCCGATCCCCAAACGCCCTCCTATCCACCTCAAACAGGGCGTCCAGCTGCTCCGATCCCCAAACGCCCTCCTATCCACCTCAAACAGGGCGTCCAGCTGCTCCGATCCCCAAACGCCCTCCTATCCACCTCAAACAGGGCGTCCAGCTGCTCCGATCCCCAAACGCCCTCCTATCCACCTCAAACAGGGCGTCCAGCTGCTCCGATCCCCAAACGCCCTCCTATCCACCTCAAACAGGGCGTCCAGCTGCTCCGATCCCCAAACGCCCTCCTATCCACCTCAAACAGGGAGTCCAGCTGCTCCGATCCCCAAACGCCCTCCTATCCACCTCAAACAGGGCGTCCAGCTGCTCCGATCCCCAAACGCCCTCCTATCCACCTCAAACAGGGCGTCCAGCTGCTCCGATCCCCAAACGCCCTCCTATCCACCTCAAACAGGGAGTCCAGCTGCTCCGATCCCCAAACGCCCTCCTATCCACCTCAAACAGGGCGTCCAGCTGCTCCGATCCCCAAACGCCCTCCTATCCACCTCAAACAGGGCGTCCAGCTGCTCCGATCCCCAAACGCCCTCCTATCCAGCTCCGCTTCTCCCGCGCCCCCCCCTTCCCCCCGCCCCCCCCTCCGTCCGCCCCCGGTCACCCAGCGGGCCGGGCCGGGCGCGCAGACTCGCCTTGTGGGAAGAAGAAAGCGGGGAGCCAGTATCTTGCAGGAAACCCTTCCAAGTGGCTGCTCTTCTCCTCCGTCGGGTGTGTGGAGTCGGGCTGCTTCCCAGCCAAGATGAACCGCATGTACCTGGAGGCAGGCAGACACGGGGGGGTGGGATCGGGCATAACTACCCGGTCAGGCCATCTGGGCGACTCTCCAGTCCCTGCCACCCCCACCTTCCCGCCTCGTCTCCACCCTCCGGAGGCAGGAAGCTGGCCCCGCGCTGGGCCTTAGAGCCGGTGAGCTGGAACCGGTGTGGCTCAGCGTATGGAGCGTCGGCCTGTGGACTGAAAGGTCCCAGGCTCGATTCCTGTCAAGGGCATGTACCTTGGTTGCGGGCACATCCCCAGGGGAGAGTGTGCAGGAGGCTGCCGATGGGTGTTTCTCTCTCATGGATGTTTCTATCTCTCTCTCCCTCTCCTTTCCTCTCTGTAAAAAATCAATAAAATATATTAAAAAAAAACACACACACACACACACACAAAAAACTGGTGAGACCAGGGCAGGGGCCGGCCTTGACTTGGGTCCTGGCGGGGCTGTGAGTGCCCGACAGCTCAGGAGGATGGGAGGGGACACTCGCTCACGGCTGCAGGGACAGGGGGCAGTTCGGCACAGGCCTTGGAACCAGATTTCCCGGGTTCCGATCCCCACAGGTCCACTTGCTCGTTGTGGGGCCGTGGGCATGTCCCTGCAGGGCCTTGTGCCTCCGTTTCCTCCTGAGGGACAGGGTCACTGTGAAGGCTCAGGGGTGGGCACCAGGAAGGCCCTGGGGCACATGCTTGACCCAGCGGGCACTCAGTCAGTGCTGGGTGCGCTCTCCTTTCCAGCGGCTTTGTGTCATGTATTAGACACGCTTAAGAATTACATGTAACCGTGGCTCAGTGGACAGAGCGTCGGCCTGCAGACTGCAGGGTCCCAGGTTCCATTCCGGTGAAGGGCATGTGCCTTGGCTGCGGGCACATCCCCAGTAGGAGATGTGCAGGAGGCAGCTGGTCCATGCTTCTAACTCTCTACCCCTTTCCCTTCCTCTCTATGAAAAAAAAAAAAAATATATATATATTTTTAAAAAGAATTACATGTAACCAATTCTTCTTTCTTTCATACCTCCCCTCCCCCTCGCTACTTCCCCGAGACACAGTGTGGCCAGCAAATGCCCTAGGCCAGTGGTCGGCAAACTCATTGGTCCACAGAGCCAAATATCAACAGGACAACGGCTGACATTTCTTTGGAGGGCCACATCTTTTTAGACGTAAACTTCTTCCAACGCCGCTTCTTCAGAATAGACTGCCCAGGCCGTGGCGTGTTGTGAAGGAGCCGCGCCCTGGGGGCCAAAGAGCCGCGTGTGGCTCGCGAGCTGCAGTTTGCCGACCACGGCCCTACATCCTGACCTTGGACGAGACGGCGCTCGGTCTCCGTCTCCGTCTCCGCGCCCTAGACGGGAGCTGAGGGTCCCCCGCCCCCTCGGGTCCCTCGAGGCTGCTGTGCGGACCCCGCAGGCCCGCCTACCGGCGGTAGATGGTGGTGTAGGCCATCTTGGCCCAGGTGTTGAAGAAGTTCAGCCGCTGGATGAGGTTGTTGACCCAGGAGGCCAGGGGCTTGCAGGACCTGTAGGCGTGTTTCTGTTGGGACGAGAGATGGCATGGGAGGTCCCTTAGCTTTTTCCGGCCACAGACACAGGCTGTTTTCGGGGCAACGGGGGGCGGGAGTGGCCAGAATTGGGCAGCCAGTCCCCCACCGCACCCCCAGCTCACCCCAACCTCCTACTGTTCAGTCTGCTGTCCAGGGGACCCCTCGTGTCCCCCGTGTCACCGCACACAGCGGCCGCTCCCACTGGTGACTGGCCCCCCCACCCCCCACTCACCTGCCACAGCTCGGGGACGCGCCCCGTGAGGAAGGCGTTGTACGTCTCCTCCAGCTCCTGCCCCAGCACGATCTCCCCCTTGATGGCCAGCCGGAGGTCCCTCAGGGACTCGTGTATGACGAGCAGCAGCTGGTTGAAGAGTTCGATTTCTTGCTTCAGGAAGGTCAGCAGGACGCAGTGGGTGATGGGGTCGTAGCCTGCATTAGAGAAAGAGCGAGGACGGCGATGTTTCTGCCCCGCCGGCCGCCGTCGCTCAGGGGTGGTGGGCTCGTCCCCAGCGGAGGGCGTGCAGGAGGCAGTGGGTCAATGATTCGGTCTCATCATGGATGTTTCTGTCCCTCTCTCCCTCTCTCTTCCTCTCTAATACAAACATATTTAAAAAACAAAACAAAACACAAAAACGGAGAGCAATAGGATTTGGAGGTTAAAGGAATTTCATTTGTCCAGGGGGGATGGGGACGGGCATGTGTGAGTGAGTGAATGCATGTGTGCGTCTGTGTGTGTGTGCGCATGTGTGTGAGTGCACACGTGTGTGAGTGCATGAGTGTGCATGTGTTCGAGTGTGAGTGTGCATGTGTGCGAGTGTGAGTGCACAAGTGAGTGTGAGTGTGCATGTGTGCGTGCGTGTGTGCGTCTGTGAGTGTGCATGTGTGCGTGTGTGCGAGTCACACCCAGATACACGGACAGCATCCCTTCCCCCTGCTCTTGCCCTGCCCCCAGGAGAGAAGTTAGCTCCCCGTCTCCTCTCACCCCTTCCTCCGTGGCCCTTCCGTCCCGTCTCTGCCCTGACCCTGACCCTGACCCTGACCCTGACCCCAACCCAATCCCAACCCTGATCCTGACCATAACCTCTCACCCCTTCTCTGTGGCCCTTCCGTCCCGTCTCTGCCCTGACCCTGACCCTGACCCTGACCCCAACCCTGACCCTGACCATAACCTCTCACCCCTTCCTCCGTGGCCCTTCCGTCCCGTCTCTGCCCTGACCCTGACCCTGACCCTGACCCTGACCCCGACCTGATCCCAACCCTGATCCTGACCATAACCTCTCACCCTTTCCTCCGTGGCCCTTCCGTCCCGTCTCTGCCCTGACCCTGACCCTGACCCTGACCCTGACCCCAACCCAATCCCAACCCTGATCCTGACCATAACCTCTCACCCCTTCTCTGTGGCCCTTCCGTCCCGTCTCTGCCCTGACCCTGACCCTGACCCTGACCCCAACCCTGACCCTGACCATAACCTCTCACCCCTTCCTCCGTGGCCCTTCCGTCCCGTCTCTGCCCTGACCCTGACCCTGACCCTGACCCCAACCCGATCCCAACCCTGATCCTGACCCTAACCTCTCACCCTTTCCTCTGTAGCCCTTCCGTCCCGTCTCTGCCCTGACCCTGACCCTGACCCTGACCCTGACCCCAACCCGATCCCAACCCTGATCCTGACCCTAACCTCTCACCCTTTCCTCTGTGGCCCTTCCGTCCCGTCTCTGCCCTGACCCTGACCCTGACCATAACCTCTCACCCTTTCCTCTGTGGCCCTTCCGTCCCGTCTCTGCCCTGACCTTGACCCTGACCCTTGACCCTGACCCTATCTGCCTGGTGCCAGAGTCCTGGGCTGGGGCGGGGGGGCGGGGGGAATGGGGGAGGATGGTGGGAAGAGGGAAATGGGGGAGGGAAGAGGGAAATGGGGGAGGGTAGAGGAGGGGGAGGGGGAGGGGGACAAGGGAGGGCCGCTCGCTCGCCTGGCAGGCTGGTGTGCAGCGCGTCCCACACGGTGCCCGCCATGATGCTGCGCAGGGTGTTCTGTGCGCCAGAGACCTCCTCCTTCTCCACCGTCAGCGGCAGCCGCTTCTGCACGTCCGCCAGCGTCTCCAGCACCAGCTCGTCACTGCTGGGCTCCCGGCTGCACGGGGGGGGGGGGGGGGGGGAGCGTGAGGGCCGCCCGGGAGGCCCGTCTCCCCCCTCCCCTCTGCCTGTTCGGATGGGAATTCCCCGGCATCTCACGTGTCAGCAAATTCTGTTTAAAAGCACAGCTCGCCAGGCACAGCTCACTCTCCACAGCTCCCTCCCTCCTACATGCTTGGTAATTGTGCGCCAGTGTGCATGTGTGTGTGAGAGAGTGCACACGTGTGTGAGTGGGTACGAATGTCAGTGTGCACACGTGTAAGTGTGCATGCGTGGGACTGCGCATGTGTGCATGCACGTGAATGTGTGTGTGTGCGTATGTGCATGTGTGTGAGTGGTGTGAATGTGTGTGAGTGTGCATGTGTGTATGTGAATGTATGTGAGTGCATGTGTGAGTGAGCGTGAGTGCGCGTGAGTGCATGTGTGCATGTGAATGCATGAGTGCATGTGTGCTTGCGAGTATGTGTGTGAGTGCATGTGTGCATGTGAGTGCACGTGTGCGAGCACATTTGTGTGAGTGTATGTGTGTGTGAGTGTGCACCTGGGTGTGCACTGGCCTCTGTGTCCCTGAGAAACCAGGGTTGGCACTCTCTGGTGACACCCTCGGAGTCCGGTCCCGCACCCCCCGGCAGACGGCTCGCACCTGACGGTGAGGCTGGGCGGGGCGGCCTTGGCCTGCAGCGCCACCAGGTGGTCCAGGAAGGCCTGCGCCTGCGCCTGCCGGCAGCCCCGCGCGGCCTCGGGGTGCAGCCCCAGCAGCTCGGCCGGCTCGTCGTCCGGCAGCGCCTGCACCGCGCGGCGGTAGGCCCGCAGGCTGGCCGGCTCCGGCAGGCACAGCTGGGGGCACACACGCGGCGTCAGCGCCCACCCCGAGGGCCCCCCCATCCCCCCGGAAACGTCCCCCCGAGCCTCTGTCCCAGGGCCATGCGCCAGGCCAGCGGCCGGCACACTCATCCGTCCACAGAGCCACATGCCGACGGCACCACGACGGGCGTGTCTCCGGAGAGCCACACTGTTCAAACGGGAACGTCTCCACACAGACTGGCCCGGGCCGCGGTGGTGTGTGTGGAAGAGCCGCCCTCCAGGGGCCCAAGAGCCGCCGTTTGCCGACCGCGGGCCCAGGCCCTTCCGCCAAGCAGCACCTGGGACCAGGCATGGCGAGGTGCTTGCGTGACGCGCACGCACATGCTCTCGTGGGGAAGCGTGCAAAGGAGGGAGAGGAAGGCACTTCAGGGGCGACTCCGGTCACCCGCCCTGGCTGGGGTGGCTCAGTGGATAGAGCGTCGGCCTGCGGACTGGGGGGCGGCGGCGGGGGGGGGGTGTCCCGGGTTCAATTCCAGCCAAGAGCGCGTGCCTGCGTTGCGGGCTCGATCCCCAGTAGGGGACGTGCAGGAGGCAGCCGGTCCATGATTCTAATCTCATCATGGATGCTTCTGTACATCTCTCTCTCTCTCTCTCTCCCTTCCTCTCTCAAGTCCATAAAATATATTAAAAAAAATAGGGCATGAGCCTTGGTCGCGGGCCCACCCCAATAGGAGGTGTACAGGAGGCCCGTGATTCTCTCTCATCGACGTTTCTCACTCTCTATCCCTCTCCCTTCCTCTCTGTAAAAAAAATAAACAAATCGACAAAGTATTTTTTTTTAAAAAAAATAAATGAAATTTTAAAAAGGCAAGATGTCACCCTTGACAAACACACGACCCAGCCCCGGGGCCGGCCCTCCGCCCTCACCTCGGCGCCGAGGCAGCTGAAGCCGGGCCGCAGCACGTCGGCGTTGCAGAAGCGCAGCAGCAGAGTGCGCAGGCAGCGCTGGTCCCAGGGGTCGGTCACCTGGCCGCCGTACACCACCTCCCCCAGCAGGTAGCGCAGCTTGGGCCACGGCACGGCCTGCTGGCCGCTCAGCGCGCTCTCCAGCACCCTCACCGCCACCTGCAGGACACACACACGCACACGCATGCACACGCGCACACACGCGCACGCGCGCGCTCCTGTCATGTCAGGGTGGGTGTGTCCCGGGCGGCGCTCCGCCCTGGTAACGCGCAAGCAGCGGCCCTCACACGGCTGCCTGCGCTTTCTCCGTGGAAACACACGGTACAGCAAGAGGAACAGAGGCTGTCTGCCGAAACCAGAAAGCAACTGGCTCAGGGGATAGAGCCTCGGCCTGCGGACTGAAGGGTCCCGGGTTCGATTCCGGTCAAGGGCATGGGCCTTGGTTCTCTCTCATCATTGATGTTTCTTTCTCTCTGTATGTGTGTGTGTATAAATATATATATATATATATATATATATATATATATATATATATATATATATATATATACCTATATACTTATATCTCTATACCTATATCTCTATATTTATATCTCTATATCTATACCTCTATATCTATCGATATATCTCTATATCTCTATCTCTATCTCTATCTCTATCTCTATCTCTATCTCTATCTCTATACCTATACCTATACCTATACCTCTGTCTCTGTCTCTGTCTCTGTCTCTGTCTCTGTCTCTGTCTCTATCTCTATCTCTATCTCTATCTCTATCTCTATCTCTATCTCTATCTCTATCTAGGAACTTGGTCTTTTCTTAGAAGCGGGTCACCTGATTGAACTGTATGGAACTATAAGACTCCAAACCAGACAACCCAACCCAAACCACACCAAACCGCCCGCTGTGAGTGCGGCCTGGATGGCAGCGGCCCTGGCTGTCTGGGGCACGTTTCCCGCCCGAGTCCCCGGTTTTCCTCCGTCTGCCCTGGGGGTGACTCTCCGATCACAGCCATGGCCGCCCGCACCCCCCGCCCCCGGCCAGTCCCCGCCCCTCCCGGGGGCCGAGCCGCCCTCACCTCGAAGTCGGACGGACTGAACTCGTAGTCGACGTTCCAGCCCAGGACGCCGTACTTCCTCCTCTCGCTGATGAGGGCGTGGAAGAAGCACAGGCTGAAGAGCAGCTTCTTCCAGCAGGGCCCACAGTCGGTGCGCTCGAAGCCCTCCTCCGTCACCTCGCCGCTGCCGTCCTGGCCCAGCGCCTTCAGCAGGCTGCTCTTCAGCCCCATGGGCTTCTCCACGGCGACCTGCCCCCGGGGGGAACCGGCATTCCCCAGATTCACCGGCAAATCAAACGTCCCCTGTGCCCGGCCGCTGTGCCTCCGTGGCTGAGCTCTAGACGTATGGCACCAGGAGGTCACGGTTCGATTCCCGGTCAGGGCATGCGCCGGGGTTTCAGGCTTGATCCCCCGTGGGGGGGCGTGCAGGAGGCAGCTGACCGTGATTCTCTCTCATTGCTGATGTTTCTATCTCTCTGTATGTGTATGTATATGTATATCTGTTATCTATATATCTCTATATCTCTATCTCTATCTCTATCTCTATATCTATATCTCTGTATATATATCTATATATATTTATATATCTATATATCTAATCTATATATATCTCTATATCTCTATCTCTATATCTATATCTATATATCTATTTTTTAAATATATTTTATTGATTTTTGTACAGAGAGGAAGGGAGAGAGATAGAGAGTTAGAAACATCAATGAGAGAGAGTCATTGATCAGCTGCCTCTTGCACACCCCCTACTGGGGATATGCCCACAACCAAGGTACATGCCCTTGATCGGAATCGAACCTGGGGCCCTTCAGTCCCCAAGCCGATGCTCTATCCATTGAGCCAAACCGGTCCCGGCTCTATATATCTATATCTATATATCTATATCTATATATCCTTATCTATATATTTCTATCTCTATATATATTTCTATCTCTATCTCTATATATCTCTATCTATATCTCTGTATGTATATCTACATCTATATCTATATATCGCTGTATGTATATCTATATCTAATCTATATCTATATATCAATATATCTATATATGTATACATCTATATCTGTATCTATATCTCTGTAGGTATATCTATCTCTGTATGTATCTCTATCTCTATCTCTATCTCTGTCTTTATATCTCTAGTAATTTGGTCTTTTCTTAGAAGTGGGTCACCTGATTAAACTGTTTGGAACTTTAAGACTCGTTGTGTATACTGCAAGATTACCTTCTGTCCTGGATTAATGTCTTGCTGACAGTACCTTACCAGCAGTATGTGAGATGGCTAGTTCACGATACACTTAATATTACGAATCAGGTCAGGACCAGCTTCCTCTTTGCCAGTTCCATGGACTGCCAGAGGTATCGCCTTGTTCCGGTTTGGATTTCTCTGACGTCTGGGGGCCGAGTTTTTATTTTTTCTTCTGCTTACTGACCTCTGGTGTCCTCTCTCACTTTTTGTGGGATGTCAGCATCCTTCCTTGTTAGGAAAACTACCCTCTGTCTGCACAGATGATGGGATATGAAACCCCATCAAGTTCTATGCGTGAATGAAAAACATTAAAGACATTTTCTTGCCCTAAATGGTGTGGCTCAGTGGATAGAGCGTCGGCCTGCGCACTGAAGGGTCCCAGGTCAAGGGCATGTACCTTGGTTGCGGGCACATCCCCAGTGGGGGGTGTGCAGGAGGCAGTTGATCAATATTTCTCCCTCATCGATGTTTCTAACTCTGTCCCTCTCCCTTCCTCTCTGTAAAAATCAATAAAATATATTAAAAAAACAAACAAACAAACAAAAAAACTTTGTTCTTACCTTCAAGCTCTTCTGAAGAAGGGGGACTGGTAAAGAACTGTCTGATTCTGAGCTTAACCACAGCCGAAACTCAGGGTCTCTGGTCACAGCTGGGTCGTTAAGTCTGCAAATTAAAAAAAAGAAGATATGTATATTGATGTGAGAAACTTAAACCACACCCACGGGTTTTAAGAATCATTGTTATTTCGATGTTTTAAGGGAACTTAGAAATCATTTTAACAACCAAAGAGCTTGTCAGACTACCCTCAGAACTTCCACGTTGCACAAGAATCTGCACGAGATCCATGAAATCCTGTTTTAAGAAACTAGTTTTTGGTCCCGAGTTTGAAGTGACATGGACTCATTGCAGAAACCTGGGAAAATGACAAATTAAAAACTAAACAAGCCGAGACCGGTTTGGCTCAGTGGATAGAGTGTCAGCTTGGGGACTGAAGGGTCCCAGGCTTGATTCCGGTCAAGGGCATGTACCTTGGTTGCGGGCATATCCCCAGTAGGAAGCATGCAGGAGGCAGCTGATCGATGACTCTCTCTCATTGATGTTTCTAACTCTCTATCTCTCTCCCTTCCTCTCTGTACAAAATCAATAAAATATATTAAAAAAAAACAAAAAACAAAAAAACTAAACAGAATGCAACTTTTCTGCAAGTCTAAACTTATTACTTTTTAATTTACAAAAAAAGAGAAAATAACTAAAGCAACAAAAGCAAATACAGACACACAAAAAAAGGCTGAACACAAAATTAAACAGAAAAACAAAAAATATGAAATTCTACTAAGCATGGCTTTATTCTCTCTCTCATTTCTTGAATAAAATTATTGTAGTACACATCCTGCTTGTAGCCTGCTATTTTTCTCTTAGCTGGGTGCACGCTAAGGTCCCCGGTTCGATTCCAGTCAAGGGCATGTGCCTTGGTTGTGGGCACATCCCCAGTAGGAGGCATGCAGGAGGCAGCTGATTGGTGTTTCTCTCTCATCGATGTTTCTAACTCTCTATCCCTCTCTCTTCCTCTCTGCAAAAAAAAAAAAAAAAAAAAAAAAAAAAAAAAAAAAATATATTTAAAATTTTAAAATAAATAAAATAAAATGGAATAGCTGATTAAAAAAAGAAAGAAAGAAAGAAAATTCTTAGTGTAGTTGTCAAGATGCTGGGGCAAAAGAGAATGGACGTAAGACAGCTTCCGTTTCCTCTTAGGGCCCAATGTACGCACCCTGGCTGCAGCCCAGGCACACGCAGCTTCTGCCTCCCCTCCCCCTGTGGCCCCTCCGATCGGTGACCAACACGCGGGTCACTCACGAGTCCACGATGGTGCACAGCCGGGGCATGAAGGAGGCGGCGAGGTGACAGTTCTGCAGGAAGACCCACTGCCCGTCTTTGGCGAGGGCCTCGGCGACGAGGGCCTCGGCTTTGGCCGCCCGGCCCTGGCCCAGCGACAGCATGGTCACGTGCTCCGTGGTTCCTCTGGAGTCCTGGGCGAACTTCAGGAGCGTGTTGGTGACGTCCACCCCTGAGGACCCAGGCAGAGAGAGACATCAGCTGTGAGCTCCGGCAAGTCCCCCTGAACTCCAGCTGTGAGCTCCGACAAGTCCCCCTGAACTCCAGCTGTGAGCTCCGACAAGTCCCCCTGAACTCCAGCTGTGAGCTCCGACAAGTCCCCCTGAACTCCAGCCTTGCACTGTGCGTGGTGGTGGGAGGACATGGAGATGGGGGTGGGGAGAGGGAAGGGCTAGGCTTTCTAGCAGCCACTTCTGTCACCGACTCCCACATCACTGTCCCTTCCTCCTCCGTGGCTGAAGCCCAGTGCTCCCCGAGGTGGCGAGCACCCAGCGAAGATACTGTATTTGCAGCTTCTCTTGTCGCTAGGGTTGGGCATCCAAGTCTGGCAAAGAGGCGTTGGCAGCCACATTCGTCACATGGCTGTGTGAAACTGTCCTTTCCCTCCGTTCTGTGGCTTGGAAGTTGGGATTCGTGATAGCTAGTACCCTCGCTGCCACCTTGGGCCAAGTGTTTTTATTTATTTTTATTATTTTATTGATTTTCCACAGAGAGGAAGGGAGAGGGATAGAGAGCTAGAAATGTCGATGAGAGAGAGAGAGACATCGATCAGCTGCCTCCTTGCACACCCCCCCCCCCCACTGGGGATGTGCCCGCACCCAAGGCACATGCCCTTGACCGGAATTGAACCCGGGACCCTTCAGTCCGCAGGCCGACGCTCTATCCACTGAGCCACACCGGTTTCAGTGGGCCAAGTCTTTAAGGAAAGGACGGCACATATGTGGCAGGCTCGGGGACAGGTGTTCTACACAGGAGGGTTTCCGACGAGAGAGTCTGTACATGAAAGGCCTTTTGAGCAAGAGTTTTGCCCAGTGGAATCCACGTCTGAAAACGGTGAGTCCTCAGGGCACGTTTGATTTGGAGATGATGAGGAACAGAAGATACATGAAGAAAGTATTTTGCTTAGGGTCTGAAGATCCAAGACAAGAAAATGAAAAAAAAAAAAAAAAAGCATTGGGGGTTTTGAGGAATACAAGAGCTGGGTCAGAGGACAGATTTCTGATAGTTCCTTTTCAAACGTATATATTTTTTTATGAGTCGATGCTAATTAAGCAGTCAACGAATACAAGGGAAATCTCAACTTTCTGGTCAATAATATGAGTCAGGGAGCTATTTCCTGTCCACACAGTTTCTGTCTGCTCAGAAAACCCGTGCTGATACATGCTTTCATATTCGTAAATCTTTGCCCTGTTACACTTTTACAAGGGATCATTGTTTGCTTTTAAAAAAATATGTACTTTTGAAAAAACCGGTTTGGTTCGGTGGATAGAGCATCGGCCTACGGACTGAGGGGTCCCGGGTTCGATTCCGGTCAAGGGCATGTACCTTGGTTGCGGGCACATCCCCGGTGGAGGGTGTGCAGGAGGCAGCTGGTCGATGTTTCTTTCTCATTGATGTTTCTGATGCTCTCTCTCTCCCTTCCTCTCTGTAAAAAAAAAAAAAAAAAAAAAAAAAAAAAATTCAATAAAAAAAAAATATATATTTTTAAAAACATAAATTAAAAAATGTACTTTTATTGATTTCAGAGAGGAAGGGAGAGGGAGAGAGAGATAGAAACATCAACGATGAGAGAGAATCACTGATGGGCTGCCTCCAGCACGCCCCCCCACTGGGGGATAGAACTCACAGCCCAGGCCTGTGCCCTTGACGGGGAATCGAACCGCAACCACTGGGCCACGCCAGCTGGGCAAAAGGTTCCTTCTTACTGTGCTTTAACGTTTTAATCCGTCCCTTTTACATAGAACGGGAAGATATTTTTTTTTAATAAGTTTTTATTGTTCATATTATTACAAATGTTCCTCTTCCCCCCCCCCCCCACCATTGCTCTCCTCCACCAGGTTCCCACCCCACCCTCTGCCCTTTCCCCTCTCCCCATTGTCTTCATCCATAGGTGCACAGTTTATGTTCAGTCTAGAACGGGAAGATATTTTATTTTTATTTTTATTTATTTATTTATTTATTTTTTAAATATATTTTATTGATTTTGTACAGAGAGGAAGGGAGAGAGATAGAGAGTTAGAAACATCAATGAGAGAGAAATATCAATCAGCTGCCTCTTGCACACCCCCTACTGGGGATGTGCCCGCAACCAAGGTACATGCCCTTGACCGGAATCGAACCTGGGACCCTTCAGTCCCCAGGCCGACGCTCTATCCACTGAGCCAAACCGGCCCCGGCGACGGGAAGACGTTTTAAAGCGGACGCGGCCTCACTTCTCCGCGTCTTACAGACGGCTCACCTCGCGCGTGGATCAGCATCACCGGGGCGCAGGCGCAGGAGTCCTTGTAGGACTCCCTCAGGTTGATTCCGGTTCTGTGGATGTATTTGCTTCCTATCTTCTCAGTGACAAACTTCCTCACCGAGTTCTTCAGACGCTCCGGCCTGAGGACTTTTATCTGGGAAAGACGACGGAAGCTGAAGGGGTGGGGCCCGGACCCCGTCTCTGGGCGGGATCTGCGCCCTCCGGGTGGTCGGTCACGACCCTGTGTCCCCTGAGTGCGGCTGGCTCCTGCTCTGTCTGTCTCACCGGCCCATCCAGCATGGACAGACTGTCTCCACCGTTCTCATTTTCAACCCCAAGGACTTGAAATATATATATATATATATATATATATATATATATATATATATATATATATATATATATTTTATTGATTTCAGAGAGGGGGGGAGAGAGAGAGAGAGAGAGAGAGAGAGAGAGAGAGAGAGAGAGAGAGAAACATCAATGGTGAGAATCATGGATCAGCTGCCTCCTGCACCCCCCACACTGGGGATGGAGCTCGCAACCTGGGCCTGAGCCTGTGCCCTGACCCGGAATCGAGACGTGACCTTCTGGTTCCTAGCTCCCGGCTCAACCCCTGAGCTACAGTGGCCAGGCTGCTTACTCAGTCTTCAATCCGAAGGGTTTCAGTGGCTGTGAAAAGCGCTTGAAACACTTAGAATGCCAATTATTTGCTCCCGGCGCACCTTACCAGAATGAGCCTTTGAAATGGGGTGAGTTTCTCCCAGGGAAAATTGACGGGACTCCGTAACTCTTCGTGTTCATTCAGAAATTCAGCTGGGTGTGATGGAGAGAAGGAAACCGGGATTAGCCATGGGATGCTTCGGGTCACGGAAAGACGCCGCAAAGGAACGGAAAGGAACAACAATCCGAGCGGAGACAGACGCATGGGTAGAAAGCAGGCTGCCAGCTATCGGAGGTGGTGGCGGCGGGGGGGTGCTGGGTGGAGGGGGAAGGGGAATTGAGAAAAAGAAGAGAATGAAGCCTTGGGCACGGACAGCAGTGTGGTGATTGTGGGGGGCAGAGGGGGGAAGGGAAGGAGAGAAGGGGAAGTTGAGGAGGCATAGGGGGATGAATGGTGATGGAAGGAGACCGGACTCGGGGTGGTGTACCCCGAAGAGGGGTGACGTGGGTGGAAGGGGCAGGGAAAAGTGAGGAGGAAGAGCTCAAATTGAAAAAAATAAAAAAAAAATAAAAATAAAAAAAATGAAAAAAGATATTAAAAGTAACAAGTCATTTAAATTAAGTTCTATTGCCTATGCAATTTCTGAAACACATCTCTTATATAAAACAATCTCTAAAACACATCTGTTAGCCCTAGCTGCTGGGCTCAGTGGATAGAGCGCCGGCCTGCGGACTGAAGGGTCCCGGGTTCGATTCCGGTCAGGGGCATGTGCCTGGGTTGCGGGCACATTCCCGGTGGGGGGTGTGCAGGAGGCAGCTGATTGACGATTCTCTCTCATCGATGTTTCTAACTCTCTATCCCTCACTTCATCTCTGTAAAAAATCAATAAAATATATTAAAAAAAAACAATAGCCAACAATATCTAAAACACATCTGTTAGTCCTAGCTGTATGGCTCAGTGGATAGAGCATCAGCCTGTGGACTGAAGGGTCCCGGGTTCGGTTCCAGTCAAGGGCACGTGCCCGAGTTGTGGGTTCCATCCCCAGTAGGGGGCGTGCAGGAGGCGGCCGATTTATGACTCTCTCTCATCATGGATGCTTCTCTCTCCCCATCTCCCTTCCTCTCTGAAATCAATTAAAAAAATATTTTTTTTTTTTAAAGAAAGAGGTGCTTACAACACAGTAATGTTCCTCTCTTGGATGGTTCATCCTCTAAGCTACTCCATCTGTAAGGTGATACTCTATACACACACACACACACACACACACACACACACACACACACACGGCTGAGAGCAAGTTAGGCCTCTTACTTTCCTCCGGGGACCTCTCGCTGTCCTCCGGCTCGGGGTAGAAAGGCGTGGCCAGCAGGACGTACAGCGCCTGGCTGTCTTGGAACGCGCTCCACTGAGCCACGTTGGACAGCAGGGACCGGCACAGGAGAGAGAAGGCTTCCAGCCGCCCGCTGAGGTACAGGCACTGCTTCCACCGCGGGTGGGAGACCCACTGCAGGTGCCGCCTCCTGCACGTCTCGTACAGGCCTGGTGGGGGAGGAGAAACGGTCGCGGCGGAGGAGACACACCTGTCCCCGAGGGACGCACTGCCAAGTGGATGCTGGGTAAGTACCTATGGTTGGGAGAAAGCCATTTCGTATAACGATTCTATATCATAAAAGCCCGGTGACCGGATGGCGGAATGACCAGAATGACCAGTCTACCGGACGCTAGTGCGTGCACGGACCACCAGGGAGCACATGCGCAATGCAGGCACTTCCCCCTGGTGGTCGTTGCGTGTCCTAGCAACCGGTCAACCGGTCAGAACAGTCACGTAGGCTTTTATATATATATATATATATATATATATATATATATATAATACATGGGAGCCCACATGGTGCCTATAACCTATTCTCGCAGATGCCCTCCTGTGTCTGGAGGATTTCAGAGGGTTCCGGTGTAGGACAGGAAGGTGGGGGGGAGCCTGTAGCGCACCCTGGGGCTATAGCTTCTCGCTGTCCTTTCTTTGTTAAAGCTTTCAGCCAGTCATAATCCGCCGGGCATCCCTAAGACGGGGGTAAAAGTGGCGTGCTTAGAGGGGGCCTGGGCTCTCGTGGCTCGCTGCCGTGTCAGTCGAGACGCGAGCCGGACTCGAGCCCGTATAATCAAGGCTTCCTGAATTCCAACGCGGCTGACGGGGGGGGCGGGGGGGTCGTCATTCGCGGGGAAGCCCGCAACAATACGTCGTCGCCGAACCCGGAGCCGCGGCCTCCACTCACTGTTGAGTCGGGGCATGGGCATGACGCCCTCGGTGTTGGCCAGGGTGCTCGAGTAGAGGAAGATGGTCCACTCCTCCCCGGGGAGGGAGCCGATGGCGTCCACGGGGTGGCTGTCGCGGGCGCTGTGCTTCATGATGGCGGTGCAGAGCAGGAAGGAGAAGCAGAGCTTGTGCTTGTTGAAGAGGGCCGCGGTCACCACCTGCGGGGACGGCGGCGGGAGCCGGCTGTCAGGCCAGCTCAGCCAGAGCCAGGGCCGCCCCTGCGGCGCCCGCCCTCCCTCGGGCCTCACCTTAAATACGCTCGTGGTCAGCGCGTCCACCGCGCCCCGCAGGCGCCTCTCCAGGGGGCGCCTCTCCAGCTTGAGCTTGTGCTCCCGGGAGGGGCTGACGTGCTCCCTGGAGGGGCTTGCGTGCTCCCTGGAGGAACGTGCGTGCTCCCTGGAGTGGCTCCCGTGCTCCCGGGAGGGGCTGCCGAGAGACCTTCTCAGAGAGGCCCTCTCCCACCTGGACCCGGGCTCCTCCTGCTCCTTGCCCCTGGAGACCGCCGAGGAGAGGAAGACCTGGCGGAACCAGTCCAGGGAGAACTGGTACAGGTGGTTGACCCGGGGGAGGCTGGCCACCACGAAGTAGAGTAGGGCGCCGCGGGTGGCGACCGGGAGGTAGCTCTCCCGGTTTGCCTGGATCTCGCTCTCCGCCTTCTCCGTCTCGCTGATGCGCTGGGAGATCTCGTTGGAGGTGATCTTGGATTTTCTCAGGGTGTCTATGATCTCCTCGTTATCCAGCACACACCCTGAGCGCAAAACAGCAAACGAATGTAAATAAAAACCACCCCGAGAGTCCACGGCAGCTTCCTCATTCTGTACTCTCTTTATTTTTATTTTTAAAAAATATTTTATTGATAGCCAAGACCGGTTTGGCTCAATGGATAGAGTGTCGGCTTGGGGACTGAAGGGACCCGGGTTCGATTCCGGTCAAGGGCATGTACCTTGGTTGCGGGCATATCCCCAGTAGGGGGTATGCAAGAGGCAGCTGATCGATGACTCTCTTTGATCCATGTTTCTAACTCTCTATCTCTCTCACTTCCTCTCTGTACAAAATCAATAAAATATATATTTTAAAAAATATTTTATTGATATTTTACAGAGAGGAAGAGAGAGGGATAGAGAGCTAGAAACATCGATGAGAGAGAAACATCGACCAGCCGCCTCCTACACGCCCCCCCACTGGGGATGTGCCCGCAACCAAGGTACATGGCCTTGACCGGAATCGAACCTGGGACCCTTCAGTCCGCAGACCGACGCCCTCGCCACTGAGCCAAACCGGTTTCGGCTCATTCTGTACTCTTTTAATTTTTTTTATTTAAAAAAAAAGATTTTAGTGATTTTTTACAGAGAGGAAGAGAGAGGGATAGAGAGTTAAAAACATCAACGAAAGGGAATCATTGATCAGCTGTCTCTTGCACACGCCCTACTGGGGATGTGACTGGAATCAAACCTGGGACCCTTCAGTCCACAGGCCAACGCTCTACCCACTGAGCCGCACCAGCTCGGGCGCCTCTAAGCGCCTCCGCTTGCCTTGTGTGTTCTCCAGCAGGTTGAGCGTCTTCTCCTCCAGCTCCTCCAGAGTCGTGGCGTCCAGGGAGATGCTCTCCAGCAGCTGGAAGCGCTGGTTTTCCAGGTGAGGCACCTCGTGGGTGACGATGGTGGACAAGAGCTGATCCTGCAGGCCTTGGAAGGTGACCGTGAAGTTGATGACGTTGACGAAGTTGTAGACGGTGGGAGGGAAGTCGGGGTTGTCTATCTCTGTGGATATGTACAGCCTGAGACACGAGAGAGGTTCCATCGGTCAGTCCGAGGGGAAAATAAGGACCCTTTCCTTGAGTGATGGAAAAGCTACTATTTCTCCTGGAAGTTAACAAGGTTCGTTTTCAGTGCTATTCTGCCTTGTACACAAGTAGGCTCTCCGTTTATACTCGGTGAATACATTTGGGACATATGACTTTGAAAATGCAAACATCACGCAGAAACCGGTGTGGCTCAGTGGACAGAGCGCCAGCCTGCGGACTGAAGGGTCCCGGGTTCGATCCCGGTCAAGGGCATGTACCTTGGTTATGGGCACATCCCCATTGGGGGTGTGTGTGTGTGTGTGTGCAGGAGGCATCTGATCGATGTTTCTCTTTCATCAATGTTTCTAACTCTCTATGCCTCTCTCTTCCTCTCTGTGAAAAATCAATAACATACATTAAAAAAATATATATGTGAAAAATCAATAACATATATTTAAAAAAAATAAAAATAGAAACGCAACCATCAGTGATGTTCGTTCTACATGTGGTCTACACATCAGGACACAGTGAAGACGAATGCTCAATAGTAGGCGCTTTGACCTGCCCTAGCCCAGTGGTCGGCAAATTCATCCGTCCATAGAGCCAACTACCAACAGCACAACGATGGACATTTCTTCGGAGAGCCACATTTTTTAAATTTAAACGTCTTCTAACGCCACTTCTTCAACACAGACTCGCCCAGGCCGTGGTGTTTTATGGAGGAGCCACACTCAAGGGGCCCGAGAGCCGCATGTGGCTCTCGAGCCGCAGTTTGCCGACCGTGATAAAACGATGGGTTTTCCCCGGAGCGAGAAGGCGGCGGATGGTGGAGCAGAGGAGTGACATGACGTGTTCTATCAGGACAGGCCTGTCTGCTCCCCGGAGAGCAGAGCGTGCGGAGGGGGGCGGCTTGGGGCAGGTGGGACCTGGGGGCATGGAGAGGGGCGGCCAGACCTGACGGCAGCCCAATAGGAGGGGACAGCCCCATTCCCTTCGGACGGAGGGGGACGTTACCTGAACTTGGAGTTGTATTCAATGTCATAATCGCTGACGCGGATGAAAGACTGTCCTCTCCGCTGATAGATGTCCTTCTTCAAAATCGCCTTCAGACTTGGAGACAAGGTTTCAGGCAGGTTCTGGAAAACCCAGGAGATGCGAGTTCAATAAGCTCCCCTCACACACACCATCAACCGGTGGAAAAGACACAGCTTTAAGAAATGCCCATCTTGCCGAAACCGGTGTGGCTCAGTGGATAGAACGTCGGCCTGCGGACTGAAAGGTCCCGGGCTCGATTCCGGTCGAGGGCATGGACCTTGGTTGCGGGCACATCCCCAGTGGGGGGTGTGTGCAGGAGGCGGCTGATCGATGATTCTCTCTCATCGATGTTTCTAGCTCTCTCTATCTCTCTCTTCCTCTCTGTAAAACGTCAATAAAATATATTTAAAAAAAGAAAAGAAAAATAAATTTATTAAAAAAAAAAAAAAGCCAATCTGTGAACATCTGGATACCGGTGAAGGACAGACCTGAGAGAACTGGACGCCGAAAACTCACGGCGTATACGCATGTATTTCCCTCCGCTGCCGCTTTCTACAAGGTCTCAGTCAGGCTGTTTCTGCTCCGTGCATACAAGGTACGTGTCCGCGGCCGGGGCCGAGGGGAGCCGGCCGCGTGGGGCACGCACCTGCAGGAGGACGCTCCCTCCCGTCTTGATGGCGTTTTCGATTTTCTTGATGTAGCCGCTGTCCCTGAAGGAGAACTCCTGCAGGCCCGGCCCCTCCATCTGGCGGATCCAGCCGTACGCTTGCCTGTAGGGGTCAATCAGCAGAGGCCACGACAGGCCGTTCTGGATCAGGACGGCGTTTTCCGTTAGATACCTGCCGAGAGGCAGGCCCTGCTGGTGCCAGCGGCGGATCTGGAGGGAGACCGCGGATGCTCTCGTTGTTTTATGAACTTCCTCACGTGGTTAGTAAGTACCTACGGGACATGCCCTCCCGCTGGCCGCTCGCTCGGCGGCCCCCATCCATCGGCGTGGTCCTGCCACGCTGCTGTCCACGTAACCCTTCTTTGACTTAATAACGCGCCCCACCCCCACCCTAAGTGCAAGGGTAGTGATCACGCCGGCCCTAGCCGGTGTGGCTCAGTGGATAGAGCGTTGGCCTGTGGACTGAAGGGTTCTTGCTTGCCAAGACGACTCCCACTTCAGAGAGGCCATTAGACCTTCCCCAGACAAGGCTATCCGTGCTGGCGCCAGACCAGGCCTCCTCTGGTTGAGGTCTCAAGGCCCAAGGACATAGGGGCCCTGTAAGAACTTTGCAGAAAGGGGCCGGAAACTCTCGATAGTTGGGAGACCAAGAAGGTAAAAAGATATAACTAGGGGAAATGCCTGCAGGTCGGGGCCCAGAATTGGAGAGACATTTTCCTCTGGTCCCGTGCGTACGTAATAAACGTAACTCCATCTCTCTAAAGCACATGTGTCAAACACAAGGCCCGCGGGCCAAATCCGTCCCGCCAGGCCTTGCAATGTGGCCCGCACCGCGCTGTCATCACTGCACTCCGCTGCGTTTCCATCACAATGACAGTTTATGACTGTTCAGTAAACCATTCGGCCCGCGATTTAGGCTGGATTTTAGATTTTGGCCCCTTCTCTGATTGAGTTCGACACCCCTACAAAGCATTGCTTTGCTCTTCCTCGGTTTTCTGTAACAAAAGGAGTCTCGGGGGAGGAAGTTGGCTATCTTTATTAGACAGTGTAGTAGGATTATAATGAGGAAAAAAAAATAAAATATATATATATATTTTTTTTTAATTTTATTTTTCTCATTATTATCCTACTACACTGTCTATATATATATATATATTTTTTGTGTGTGACTTTTGCCCAGAGAATGGGAACTAGTAGATATAACTAATTGAGGAATTAAAAATATAACTTAAAAAAACAAAACAATTTAAGGCCAAAACCGGTGTGGCTCAGTGGTAGAGCGTCGGTCTGCGGACTGAAAGGTCCCAGGTTCGATTCCGGTCAAGGGCATGTATGTTGGTTGCAGGCATATCTCCGGTAGGGGGTGTGCAAGAGGCAGCTGGTCGATGTTTCTCTCTCCTCGACGTTTCTAACTCTCTATCTCTCTCCCTTCCTCTCTGTAAAAAAATCAATAAAATATATTTAAAAACCAAAACAAAACCAAAACAAAACAATGTAAGGCCTAGAACAGACTTCAGAACTTTCCATTATCAACATAATTCGGGGGGGAAAGGTCCACGCCAAAAAATAAAAAATAAAAAAAAAATGCCCACGCAAAATCCAAATCCACAATAAAGCCACTTGACCGGATAACAGCTACATCGGTACCTGCTGGGTTTGTGCCATGACCTCGATTAAAGAAAACTTGGAAGACAGAGAAATGCTGCTTTTGGCGCACAGTTTCTCCCATTCGTTCACGATCAGCTGGCGGAACTCCGGAGTCAGCACCCCGCTGTAGACGATGCACGCGGCCGACATCAGCATGTCCCCCACAATGCCCTCCAGCTTGCTGTCTATCTGATCGATCGTTTCCTGCCATCGGATCTAAACGTGAGAATAAAAACGCGTTACTGGTATTTGCTAGAAACAGCTGCTGCTTTGAGACATCTTGGAAATTAAAGGGCCTCCCAGCTGGACCGGTGGTGGCCGTTTCTATTCCTCTTCTCCTGCGGTAGATGCAATGTAATTAATAATGGCTAAAATGGAAACACGCGCATTATTATTATTATTATTTTTTAAAGGGAATGTGAGTCCTGTTTTTTGGGTTTGTCAATGGGATCATATTTGCTAAGATTGATAGGCATTTCAAATTCTTTGTGTAATAAGGCGGGGTAATTTACAAATAAATCGTACTATATTATTAACTAGAAGCCTGGTGCATGGAATTTGTGCACCAGGGGTAGGGATGGGGAGGGATTGTCCCTCAGCCCAGACTGCACCCTCTCCAATCTGGGACATTCCTCTCACTACCCAGGGCTGCTGGCTCCCAACCACTTGCCTGCCTGCCTGCCAGCCTGATCACCCCCTAACCACTCCCCTGCCAATCTGATTGACGCCTAACTGCTCCCCTTCTGGTCTGATTGCCCCTAATTGCCATCCTCTGCCAGCCTGGTCACCCTAACTATCATCCCCTTGACAGCCTGGTTGCCCCCACCTGCATTCCCCTGCCGGCTTGGTCCCCCCAATTGCCCTCCCCTGCAGGCCTAGTCCCCCCCCCAAACTGTTGGCCATCTTGTGTCCACATGGGGGCAGCCATATTATGTGTTGGAGTGATGGTCAATTTGCACATTACCTATTATATAGGATGGTGCCCAATAATAATAATGATGATGAGCAATACTTATTAAATCCTCACTTATCTGACACTTTGCTTTGAAAATCTCACTTGACTCTTTCAATATCCTGTTAAATAAAAGCCACTGACTTCACAGGAATGAAGAGGAGGAAGCTGAAGGCTGGAGAAGTCAGGCAACTTGCTCAAGTCCACAAAGCTCTCCTTGGGCCGCTGGGATCTGAGCCCACGCCCCCTGGCGGTGCGCCTCCTTCCACGGCCATGTCTGTGCTCGACTGTCCATAAACGAGGCGTGCGGGTCAAGTACCCAACCTCTGGGAGCTCACCGTCTGGGATAAGGCCGATGCTAGACCGCCGCTCAACACGCATGCTCGCGAGGACATACATGGAGGGATGTTATCTCCCTCGGATGGGTCTAACTTCATAACCTCCTTCCTCCTGCCCTCAGGGGTCTCTCCTTAAACTAAATTAAAATTATTTTGGGGGGATTCTGTCACACCCTTTGCGAGAGCTGAAGTATATAACTACACCTACTCAGCTCACCAGGGATTCCGGGAGGGACAAGGAAGACGAGTTAGAGGAGAAATAATTAGATGAGGCGAAAAGGGTCAGAAGACGCACAGAACAAAAGAAAATGTCCTCCGCCAAAACCGGGGCGGCTCAGTGGATGGAGCGTCGGCCTGCGGACTGAAAGGGCCCGGGTTCGATTCCGGTCAGGGGCATGCATGTACCTAGGTTGCGGGCACATCCCCAGTAGAGGGTGTGCAAGAGGCAGCTGGTCGATGACTCTCTCTCATCGATGTTTCTAGCTCTCTGTCCCTCTCTCTTCCAATCTGTAAAAAAATCAATAAAATATATTAAAAAAAAAAGAAAGAAAACAAACGTTCTTTTCCTTTCCCGGCGTCTCCTCCTCCCTTCCAGCCCCGTCCGTGCTGATACTTAGAGAAGAGAGCCTGACGTTCTCACCGAGTTTTACTCGGCACCGCACAGACCAGGGGGTGTGTGCCGTCTTAGGGACGAGCGACAGCTCTGACTGTGGGGTCAGTGACCGCCGTGTGAAGACAAGCGTGAGACATTAATGAAGGAGACGGAGGACCCGCAAACGCCACACCTTCTCGTCGCCCAGGGCGGTGAGCAACACGGACGCACAGTACATGCGCCTGGTGGCCAGCTGTCTTCGAGCTGCCAGCACGTCTTTCTCGGCAACGATGTCTCTGTAGGCCGCCTGCAAAAACTGCAGATGGTCTTCAACCTGAAAGACAATTTATTTTCATCTTATTTCATTCATTCCTTTATTTTTTAAAAGTGTGTTTTATTGATTTTGCACAGAGAGGGAGAGAGAGGGAACAGAGAGTCAGAAACGTCGACGAGAGAGAAACATCCATCAGGTGCCTCCTGCACGGCCCCCCACTGGGGATGTGCCCACAACCGAGGCACGTGCCCTTGACCCGAATCGAACCCGGGACCTTTTAGTCCAGAGGCCGACGCTCTATCCTAGGGGTGTCGAACTCAATCAGAGAAGGGGCCAAAATCTAAAATCCAGCCTAAATCACAGGCCGAATGGTTTACTGAACAGTCATAAACTGTCATTGTGATGGAAACGCAGCGGAGTGCAGTGATGACAGCGCGGTGCGGGCCACATTGCAAGGCCTGGCGGGACGGATTTGGCCCGCGGGCCTTGTGTTTGACACATGTGCTCTATCCACTGAGCCACACCGGCTTCGGCAGGAAGGCCTACTCTCGCGTGAATTTCGTGCACCGGGGCTCTGGTTTCATCGTAATTCAGCCCTTACTACCTTCACTATACTCCCCCTTTTACCTTAAATGTAGGAATCCTACCGAGAGCATGGCTCTTTCCTGAGGTGGCTGTCTAAGTTCATAAAGGCATTGACAGTTTGGCAAGGAGAAAAGCCTTCTTACCAGCTGCAAACCTCTCTGCTTTTCCGCCAGCCTCTGCCGCGCGATTCTCAGAATGTTCTGGGCCTCAGCCACCTGGACCTGCTTGGGGCCCACCACCTTCAAGGGAAAGTCGCAACATTCGAGCGTTAGGGAGGTCAAGTTCGCTTCTTAAAAATGCCACTTTATTTAAAAAATATATTTTTACTGATCTCAGAGAGGAAGGGGGAGGGGGAGAGACAGATACATCCACGATGAGAGAGAATCACGGATCGGCTGCCTCCTACACGCCCCACACGGGGGACCAAGCTGACAACCTGGGCACGCACCCTTAACCGGAATGGAACCCGGGACCCTTCGGTCCGCAGGCCGACGCTGTATCCACTGAGCCACACCGGCTGGGGCGAACATGCCACTTTAGTGTAAATGGCATCGATAAGTGTCAACCCTTCATACGAACTGGCAGAGAATCACGTGGACGGAAGAGACATAAAGTAGTTGGAGGTGGCGACACGTGGGAAGGCAAACAAGCGGAAGGAGAGTGGCCTGGCCATAAAGAGCAGGACTGGGCAGGAGGGCTTGCCGGCTGGGTGCGCGGGCCCGTGCGCGGTGACGGGGAGCGTCTGTCTCCGCGTATTCTCTCCCGGGAAGTTCACGTGCGTCTTAATGGCCAGACGGGAGCGTGACCGTTGGGACTCTGGTTGAAGGAGGCAGCTCATCAGTGATTCTCATCATTGATGTTTCTCTCTCTCTCTCTCTCCCTCCCTCTCCCTTCCTCGCTGAAGCCAATAAAAATATTTTTTAATTAGAATTTTATTTTATTTACTTATTTATTTTTCTAAAAATATATTTTATTGATTTTGTACAGAGAGGAAGGGTGAGAGAGAGATAGAGAGTTGGAAACATCGATGAGAGAGAGTCATCGACCAGCTGCCTCTTGCACACCCACCCCCTACTGGGGATGTGCCCGCAACCAAGGTACATGCCCTTGACCAGGATCGAACCCGGGACCTTTCAGTCCGCAGGCCGACGCTCTATCCACTGAGCCACACCGGTCTCGGCTTAATTAGAATGTTAATCACTAGAAGCACACCCCGGGACCCCTTCCCCCGTGCCCAGGGCCGCCCCCTCCCGGCGGCCTCGCACCTTCTTCACGTCGTGGTAGTTGCTGAGCGCGATGATCCACTCGCACATGGAGCAGCAGGCCAGCGACACGAGGGCGATCTTTTTGGGGTTGAAGTCGGGCAAGACCAGGAATTTTTTCAGCTTCACGAAGACCTGGGCAGGACGGGGGCGAGGCGTCACGTGAGCGAGACCCGTCCCCGATCGGGGAGTGCCCCCTCGCCCACCCGAGGGTGCCCTTCTGCCTCCTGTTGGACGTGCCCAGCCGCTGCTCCCCGGTGGAACAGAAACGGCGTACCCGGCCCTGGCCGGTGGCTCAGTGGTTAGAGCGCCCGGCCTTTGGATCGGAGGGTCTCGGGTTGGATTCCCGGTCAGAGGCACGTAGCTAGCTGGTTTCGCCAGGTTCGGTCCCTGGCCCCGTGCGGGAGGCAGCTGATCGATGTCTCTCTCTCATAACCATGTTTCCCTCTCTGTCTCTGTCTGTCTCTCTCTCTCTCTCTCTCTTTCCCTTCCCTCTCCCATTCTCCCTAAAAAAATCAATGGAAAAAATATCCTTGGGTGATTTTGGTAAAAATCAAATAAAAGCCGAAACTGATTTGGCTCAGTAGATAGAGCGTCGGCCGTCAGACTGAAAGGTCCCGGGTTCGATTCCGGTCAAGGGCATGTGCCTTGGTTGCGGGCGCATCCTCAGTAGGGGGTGTGCAGGAGGCAGCTGATCGATGATTCTCTCTCATCGATGTTTCTAACTCTCTATCCCTCTCTCTTCCTCTCTGTCAATAAAATATATTTTTTTTAAAAAAATCAAATAACAATAACAACAACAAAAAAACCTCCACACTCATGCCTAAGCACAAACTGGCTTTAGTACCAATATACCAATTATATCTTAAAAAACAAACAAACAAAAAAAACACCAAAAACAAAACAACTCAGACACAGCTCTCCACTCATTGCACTTTCACAATGTGACTTCACCCACCCGTCTAGACTTTCTCCCACTCCTGCCTCTTTCCGGTTTTCATTATTTAAAGTAGGGGTGTCGAACTCAATCAGAGAAGGGGCCAAAATCTAAAATCCAGCCTAAATCGCGGGCCCAATGGTTTACTGAACAGTCATAAACTGTCACTGTGATGGAAACGCAGCAGAGTGCAGTGATGACAGCGCGGTGCGGGCCACATTGCAAGGCCTGGCGGGACGGACTTGGCCCGCGGGCCTTGTGTTTGACACGTGTGATCTAAAGGGTGAGATAGGGCATTTTCTTTTCTTTTTCTTTTTTAAAAAATATATTTTATTGACCCACTGGGCCAGAGCTCCAGTGGTGCCACGCTCCTGTCTGACTCTGGGCTTGTTGACGCCGACCTGTCTGTGGTGCGTCCGCCAGCAAGCGGCTCCGCACCTTCTCGGGCAGCCGGTCCTTGTCGAGCTGCACCAGCTTCTTCAGGAAGCCGGTCTCCGACAGCAGCAGCTTGGCCGTGGCCCAGTTGGGCTTCTTCTGCAGGAGGGTGCACACCGCGTTCATGACCGTGAGGACCAGGTACGGGGGGCGCGCGTACACCCTGCAGCAGACGGGGGGGAGATCACACCCACCGGTCAGCGGCCAACGTGCTGTACAGGTTTTTTTATTTATTTTTATTTTTTAAATATATTTTATTGCCGAAACCGGTGTGGCTCAGTGGATAGAGCGTCGGTCTGAGGACTGAAAGGTCCCAGGTTCGATTCCGGTCAAGGGCATGGACCTTGGTTGCAGGCACATCCCTGGTAGGGAGTGTGCAAGAGGCGGCTGGTCGATGTCTCTCTCTCATTGACGTTCCTAGCTCTCTATCCCTCTCCCTTCCTCTCTGTAAAAGGTCAATAAAATATATTTAAAAATAAATAAATAAATATATTTTATGGATTGTTTTACAGAGAGGAAGAGAGAGGGATAGAGAGAAACATCGATGAGAGAGAGAGAATCATCGATCAGCTGCCTCTTGCACACCCACTACTGGGGATGTGCCCGCAACCAAGGTACGTGCCCTTGACCGGAATTGAACCCGGGACCCTTCAATCCGCAATCTGACGCTCTATGTATCCACTGAGCCAACCTGGTTTCGGCATAGTTTTTTTTTTTTTTTAAACGAGCATTTTTGGTAAGGAGACCAAACGGCTGATGCATAGCTTTTTCTCATTCCTTGGGTGTCTTTAAAAATGTGGGTGTTGCCGAAACCGGTTTGGCTCAGTGGGTTGAGCGTCGGTCTGCGGACTGAAAGGTCCCAGGTTCGATTCCGGTCAAGGGCATGCACCTTGGTGGCGGGCACATCCCCAGTGGGGCGTGTGCAGGAGGCAGCTGGTCGATGTTTCTCTCTCATCGACGTTTCTAGCTCTCTATCTCTCTCTCTTCCTCTCTGTAAAAAAAATCAATAAAATATATTAAAAAAACACACAAAAAAACGGGCCAATGACTCACCTCAGCTCAGAGATGTCGGTCTTGTCCAGGGTGTTGAGAGCCAGGACGGCCTTGTCCAGAGCCGGCATCACGCTCTTCAGTTCGTGGGCTGTTGTCTGCAGGAAGGGAGATAGGCCCGGATGCACAAGGATGTGGCTACAGTCGTGTTATTACGTATTAACTGGAGGCTCGGTGCACGAATTTGTGCTCAGGTGGGGGTCCAGCCGGCCTGTCCCAACGGGGGCCAATGGGGCCGGGCTGGCAGGGGGGATGGGATGCAGGAGGTTGGGGGGACTGGCCCGCCCCCAGTCGGTGTGTGTGGGGTCCCATTGGGGGTGAGGAATGCCTGGGGGAGGGGCTGCCCCGATGGGGTGGGTTGGCTGGCACGTGCATGTCATAGCGACCAGTCATTCCAGTCATTTTGGTGTTCGGGTTGCTAAGCTTTTATATATACATCTATATATATCTATATATATCTATATCTATCTATCTATCTATCTATCTATCTATCTATCTATATGGATTATTTTCCCTACAAACAAAGGTAAGCCTATCTCACATAGGACAAGGTCTACAATAATTCCAGAAACTTCCAACTTCCCTGGCGTGCGACATGAAGGAGCAGGGCCAGAGGGCGTGTTATAAGAGTAACTTGGGCCGGGACTGGTTTGGCTCAATGGATAGAGCGTCGGCTTGGGGACTGAAAGGTCCCGGTTCGATTCCGGTCAAGGGCATGTACCTTGGTTGCAGGCATATCCCCAGTAGGGGGTGTGCAAGAGGCAGCTGATCGATGACTCTCTCTCATCGATGTTTCTAGCTCTCTATCTCTCTCCCTTCCTCTCTGTACAAAATCAATAAAGTATATTTAAAAAAAAAAAAAAAAGAGTAACTTGGAACTACAGCGCTCAGCTCCAGGCTGTGGAGGAGAGACACACGATGTTTACGGTGTCTGGACGCAGAGTCGGGGCCGTGGAGAGGCCTGGAGTGACCTTGCCATGTGTTTATGCTTTATGTGATTATTACATGCTGACCACGGTGAGCACATGGCCAGGCTGTCCCTGACAGCCGCACACAAGGGAAGCTCGCTGCTTCCTGAGGAGGTCTGATAACACAGCTCATACTTTCCCCCTTAAAAAAAAAATACTCTCTCTGATGTCAGAGAGGAAGGGAGAGGGAGAGGGAGAGACGGAAACATCAGTGATGAGAATCATGGACCGGCTGCCTCCTGCACGCCCCACACTGGGGACGGAGCCTGCAACCCGGGCCTGTGCCCTTGACCGGGAATCGAACCGTGACCTCCTGGTTCATGGACTGACGCCCCACCACTGGGCCACACTGGCCAGGCTGCATGTTCACCCTTTTTGATGGGAGTTTGTGCAAAAATAGTTCTTTAAAATCCCTGGGGTTTTAGGCAATAGTCAAGACATTTTCAATGGCTCAATAACACAAGTGAGAAATTACGTTCCTTATATAGATATGTGAAAGGTATCTTATCATTTTAGCTGTTATTTACAAATTAGACAAAAATCTGAGGATGTTAAATAAAAGTGATTGTGTGTCAAAATGAAGAATGCATCCTCTGATCACGTTGGAAAAAATTCAAGGTCCTGGCTGAGTTTGCAAAAAATATCGACATTAATCAAAATATGAAAATCAGAAAACACACCTATAATGAAGACATTGATGGAAAACGGGTGAACGAATTCAAAGAGTATTTAAAATTAATTGATAGACAAGAAATCTTGACATGCCGTTGCTGCTTACAGCAAATTCAACAGCAATACTGACAAAAATGTTCATGACATTTATCAACAATAATTGATGAGGTTGAAATACACTTTTCTAAAAAAAAACTATTCATGTGAAAAACACACTTTGATCAACTATTCTAAAGATTCTATCGGAAATGAAATTATAAAATCAGTTCCCTATGAAAAAGCAGTCTCAGAGTATGCAGTGGGAAAAAAATGCAGGAAAAAAGTATTTTGGGGCGGGTGGTTAAGGCAGTGAATTATTGAACAATATTGTTATTTTTCTAGACCGTGTGATGTTTATAAAAATGGTCAGCTTTTACAATTTTGTAGATTATTTGATTTCTTCACTTATTCTAAATATTCACGTCCACGTCTAACTGTGAACTAGTAATTCTGTATTCATTTAATATTGGTTGGCATAAATATTAGAAGTACCCAGAGTTGGGGCACTATATATATATATATGTATATATCGGAGAGCAGCCAGCCCGACCCCTGAAATGTGGGCGTTAGGGAGTCATTTTTGCAAAATCCCCAAGTGATTTCTGCTGGTTATTGTTTTAGTCTTACATGAGCATGCTCTTCCACAATCCTCACTTCCTCTTCCATGATTTCCTCATCCTGCTTCACGAGCATCTGGACTTTCTCAACCACTTGTGAATCCTTCTGTAGTTTTTCCATTAACATTTCTTTTTCCTAATGAAGCAAATCATTCTTCTCAGCATGAATTTTAAGAGAGATTTTATTTTATTTTATTTTTTTGGAAAAAAAAAAGAGAAATCCAAATAGCCCATTTCCTTACTATAAAAATTTATCAGCATCAGCTTGAAATATCTTTAATAGACTAACAGAGATGACGACGATAGACATCATTTCGTACAACACACGTCAAGAACAATGACACGTAATGACTTCAGAATACTTGGCAGCTTGCCATTGACCACAGAATGTTCCAGATGACGAGTAACTAGGGAATTTTTCTAGCTAGTTTTTTTATTTTATTTTATTTTATTTTATTTTATTTTATTTTATTTTATTTTATTTTATTTTATTTTATTTTATTTTTTTTTACCATTAGTTAGATACTGATCATCATATTTAAATATGAAAAAACTAGAGGCCCAGTGCATGGATTCGTGCACCGGCGGGGTCCCTCGGCCTGGCCTGCAGGGATCAGGCCAAAACCGGCTCTCGGACATCCCCCCGGGGGGTCCTGAATTCCGAGAGGGCACAGGCCAGGCCGAGGGACCCCGCCAGTGCATGATCGTGCCCGAGGAGGGACCACGGGAGGGCTGCAGGGCGTGTCTGGCCTGTCTCACCCAGTCCCGATTGGCCAGACCCCAGCAGCAAGCTAACCTTCTGGTCGGAGCGTCTGCCCCCAGTGGTCAGTGCGTGTCAAAGCGACTGGTCGAACGGTGGAACGGACAGTCAGACACTTAGCACATTAGGCTTTTATTATGTAGGATAACGATGCTAATATTTTGCTATCACTGTTGTTATCGTTCCCCTCGCTTGACAGATAAGGAAAATGGGGGCTGAGACAGATCACACAGCCTCGTGGTGTCCGAACAAGCATGTAAGCTCTGCCACGCCATCCTGTGCTAAGCTACAGGAGTGTTACCAGTAAGAAAAGATTCCCAACGAGACGTACCTTGGTCTTCTGTTCTATCTGAGGGCTGAGGACCAGGAGCTCCTCCTGCATGTCCTTGACCAGAGCCGTGGCCTCCAGGATCTTGGACAGACCCATGTAGAAGCGATCCCTGGAGGAGGAGAGGGGCGGGAAGGGGACCGTTTACGACACAACGTCAGCCACGCGAGCTACACCGGGGCCACGGCCGGAAGGCAATGTGGTCGAGACGCCCATCCTCCCCAGACAGATCGGCAGGCGTAAGGCAATGCCTATCAAAAGTCGAGGTCAGCCGAAACCGGTGTGGCTCAATGGATAGAGCGTCGGCTTGGGGACTGAAAGGTCCCAGGTTCAATTCCGGTCAAGGGCATGGACCTTGGTTGCGGGCACATCCCCAGTAGGGGTTGTGCAAGAGGCAGCTGATCGATGACTCTCTCATCGATATTTCTAACTCTGTATCTCTTTCCCTTCCTCTCTGTACAAAATCAATAAAATATATTAAAAAAAATAAAATAAAATATATTGTATGGATTTTTTTACAGAGAGGAAGAGAGAGGGATAGATAGTTAGAAACATCGATGAGAGAGAAACATCGACCAGCCGCCGCCTGCACACCCCCCACGGAGGATGTGCCCGCAACCAAGTCACGTGCCCTTGTCCGGAATCGAACCCGGAACCTTTCAGTCCGCAGGCCGACGCTCTGTCCACACCGGCTTTGGCCTTAGGTTTGTTGTTACAAATAAAAGCACCAGCGCAAAGTCTACTGAAACGTACGCGAACAAAGGAAAGTAAACACGCTTCCCGATCCGGCCTTCAGGGCTCACCTCTTGGTTTGCAGTTCCTTCTCGCGGGACCTCAGCATGTGCCCGAAGGTGTCCATGAATCGCAGGTAGCTCCGGGGAGTGACAAAATAGCGCCTCCTGGTTTCCTGGAAGTATTTTGTGCTCAAGTCTTTCACACTCCGGTGGATTTGGACACACAAGGGGGCAAGTCTTTCCTTCAAGTTCTGGAAAAAAAAAAAAAAAATATATATATATATATATATATATATATACATACATATATATATATATACATACATACATATATATATATATATATATATATATATATATATATATATATGAAGAATTAAGAGAAAGCAGCCAAAACCGGTGTGGCTCAGTGGATAGAGCGTCGGTCTGCAGACTGAAAGGTCCCAGGTTCGAATCCGGTCAAGGGCATGTACCTTGGTTGCGGGCACATCCCCAGTAGGGGGTGTGCAGGAGGCAGCTGGTGGATGTTTCTCTCTCATCGATGTTTCTAGCTCTCTATCCCTCTTCCTTCCTCTCTGTAAAAAAAAAAAAATCAATAAAATATATATATTTTTAAAAAGTTACATTTACCTCTCTGTTCTCTAAATCCACGTTTTTCCTCAGGAAAGAGTTGGCGACCAGCAGCAGCGCCTCCTCCGGCCACCGCTCGTACCAGTCGATGGTGCAGGAGCTGATCATGGAGGCGTACACGCGGCAGAACCGGCGGAACTGGGGCCCCGCGGGGCTCACGATCATGAAGATGTGCAGGCTCCTCCGTATCCTCTGAAACGCAGCGGGGGCGGGAGTCGTGAAGATGTAATCCACAGCTGGAACCGGTGTGGCTCAGTGGATAGAGCGCCGGCTTGGGGACTGAAGGGTCCTGGGTTCGATTCCGGCCAAGGGCATGTACCTTGGTTGCGGGCACATCCCCAGCGGGGAGTGTGCAAGAGGCAGCTGATCGATGACTCTCTCTCATCGATGTTTCTAACTCTCTATCCCTCTCCCTTCCTCTCTGTACAAAATCAATAAAAAAAAATCAATTAAAAAAAAAAGATATAATCCATTGCTTTGGAAAGGATGTCTTATTGAACATGCCCTTTTAAAAATATATATATATTTTATTGATTGTTTTTACAGAGAGGAAGAGAGAGGGATAGAAAGTTAGAAACATTGATCAGCTGCCTCCTGCACACCCCAACTGGGGATGTGCCCGCAACCAAGGTACACGCCCTTGACCGGAATCGAACCTGGGACCTTCCAGTCCGCAGGCCGACGCTCTGTCCACTGAGCCACACCGGTTTCGGCTGAACACACCCTTTAAAGCTTGTGTCCGTTCTTTCCTTCGGGAGCAGAGACGGACCCACTGTGTGCGGAGTGCCCGCCACGACCAGCGCCCTCCTAAGGAACGTGGCAATTCCCACAGAGCTCTGCTGCTTTTTTAAAATGCTTTTATGGATTTCAGAGAGGAAGGGAGACGGAGGGGGGGAGAGAGAAACATCCACGATGAGAGAGAACCAGGAGGTCACGGTTCAATTCCTGGGCTGTGGGCTCGATCCCCAGGAGGGGGCATGCAGGAGGCAGCCGGTCCATGATTCTCTCTCATCATTGATGTTTCTCTCCGTCTCTTCCTCTTCCATCCTCTCTGAAATCAGTAAAAATATACATTTAAAAAAAAAAAAAATCCCCAACTCAATCGAAGCAGCCATTCATACGACATTGTTCTCTCTCGGTTTCTGGAATCTTTTACATCTTCTTGTGACCGATCACAGGGACCTGGCGAGGAGGGGAGGGCTG